CAAAATAATGTTGTTGCCATGACGCCAAATTGTAATTCACGCGTGCGAGCGATCAGTGAACTTGTAGGTTTACAACCTACCATAAGGACGCACGCCGAGTTGGACTCGTCGACGCTAGCAGGGCTAGGCAAGAAGGCAGGAGTACTGTGTGGAGAGGTTGTATCACGTTGCGACCCCCACGGTCGTTTCACCCTTTATCGTCCTGACGATACAGGGGGAGCCGCGCACTTCGTGCGCGGCGGGTCATACAACGTATGACAATGGAGAGGGTAGTGTGGTATTGGGGGACCGGAGAAAACAGTAAAGAAACGCACATCTGCTCTAGAAGCTCATGTTCTTGTTGTATCACGTGGTGACCCCCACGGTCGCTGCACTGTAGAGTTTCGACGATACAGGGGGAGCCGCGCACTCGTGCGCGGCGGGTCATACAACGTATGACAATGTTCTTGTGAGGGGGTGCAATGTGATAATATCTCCCTCAGAGCACAAAGTAGTCCATGAGGACCCCAAGTCTGGTTTTGGTGAATCGTCTGGGAGTAAACTTGTTGATACAGTAAAAATGACGGCATGAAGATCAAGCCTGACAAAAATAGCTGTGTAGTGTGTACGAAATAATTATCTTTGGGAATTTAGGTAAATTATTAACGTCAGTGCATTATGACATATTTGAGGCTTGTGTTTGACCGTTTGTCAGTTGGGTTTGTCAGTTGGGCAATGAATCAAGCCTAGCCAGCACGTCATTTCTTGATAAAATTACACATGTTGTCGTGACGGTGTAGTGCATGATCAATGATTATGATGCCATGTCTATACAACCGAACTACATAAATCACATACATATCACATATTACACAACTCAACTACATGAAACGACAAAAACATAATTAATAATTATCCTTAGTTCCAGCGCCCTGCAAGGAACAAAGCTTAAAGTGGGAGAACTTGCAATCAGTACAGCTTCAGCTGTGGAGCATGGAACACAGATAACAGTGCACTGCGAAACAGGGGAGGAAGCAAAGTTCAGTGTGAAGATGGAGATATTGTGCTTATTGGAGAAACACCAAATTGCGAAATAATAGGTTTGTTTTAAGGTTCAAAAGTTAAAGATGTTCTTAACACTGCTTGAAATCAGGTTATGATAAGTTATAATATCGTATTACGGCAAATTTGTAACCAAAAGATTAGTGATTACGATGGATTTAAATTTTCGTTAATGGCAATGGTCTCCCGTCCCCGTCCCCGTCCCCGTCCCCGTCCCCGTCCCCGTCCCCGTCCCCGTCCCCGTCCCCGTCCCCGTCCCCGTCCCCGTCCCCGTCCCCGTCCCCGTCCCCGTCCCCGTCCCCGTCCCCGTCCCCGTCCCCGTCCCCGTCCCCGTCCCCGTCCCCGTCCCCGTCCCGTTCTTTTCAGTGTGTTTTGCTAAAACGAAAGACCTCAGATATTTCTTCTTTAACATAGAGATCTGATATTTTACATAACTTAATTTACCCATTTAGTGTTGTGTGAAAATAAGTGAGTACCATTTTTAATATTTATAATCCATTCTGCTTTGCATAACAGGAAATCATGCGATTTAAGAGATGGTCGACATTTCTTAAATATTTATTACAAATTGTTGTATGTCACTTATTTGTTGTAACCACAGCTGAACACTGAACAGCCGCTCGTCGATTGAAGAGGTTACGAAGCGTAAGGCCCTAGGTAGGGTACATCTTGGTCACAGTTACAATTTGTCGCCCCCTGCTACTATGTTTTAGTGCCTCCGGTAACAAATGTTAAACTTCAGAGTGTCCAGTTATCTCAGGTTTATATACTAATTCCCTGTGGCAAACTCTTAGTCTTAGTCATAGTGCAGTCTTCAAGAGATGGAACCAAATTATCAATAATAATAATGAATAAGGAAGGATATTATACTTATAGGTTGGTTCATTTCTCCTTCAGTCAGAGAAATCAGAATTTACATATTTATGTATGAATTTGTTTATATAACAGTATCAAGTATCACACAGAAGTTAAAATAATGTGATGATAAATATAAAATAACTGACGACTAAGTTTGTTGGTTTGTCATGACGATTTCTGAGAGTCACAAAGACTTTTACCGCCGAGTTCGCTGATCTGTGGTTGGTACAGGTTCCCCGACTTTTTCAACGATTCAATGGCTGGATTTAAGGTCATTAACATGCAAAATATTCATTATGCTAGGGTTTCCATAAATAAGCGGGTGCCGCCTAGGACAGATAGTTTAAAATCTAAATGACTAGAAGTAAATTGTGAGGGTCAGGATGGAAATTCAGAATATTTAGCATTTGTTTGCTATGGATCACCGCAGGCACAAATCCCAGAGCACTCCACACTTCCACACTTGTCCCCCCTCCCACCCCGGGAAGGAGGCACCGGTTGTCACGGGGTGGTGCTCCACACTTATCTGAAATATCATTATTGAAGTTCATGAAGCTGATCTATCTAAATGTTTCGTTTTACCAATACCACTGAACAGGTATCTGTGATGTTGTCACAATAGAGGTACCTTCATTTGTTCCTTTCAATTCTCCATCAATTTACCTTATTTTTGAAAATGATGACCTTATGTGACACGTTAATGATACTACTGATTGAACGGAAGATTCCTCTGTACGCAGGTTATCACAATTTCTCCGGAAATGAGGTTGAGCCCCTCAACACACTTCCCGAACAGTTCCGTTGTTAACAGAAAATACTGAGTCTGTTATCAGGTTCAATCAGCAGCACCGTACAGGTCACAGTAAGATAATGGGAGTGTGTTATGTGTAGTGTGTTATGTGCAGTGTGGTATGTGCAGTGTGGTATGTGCAGTGTGGTGTGTGCAGTGTGTTATGTGCAGTGTGGTATGTGCAGCGTGGTATGTGCAGTGTGGTATGTGCAGTGTGGTATGTGCAGTGTGGTATCAGGTATGTGCAGTGTGGTATGTGCAGTGTGGTATGTGCAGTGTGGTATGTGCAGTGTGGTATGTGCAGTGTGGTATGTGCAGTGTGGTATGTGCAGTGTGGTATGTGCAGTGTGGTATGTGCAGTGTGGTATGTGCAGTGTGTTATGTGCAGTGTGGTATGTGCAGTGTGGTATGTGCAGTGTGGTATGTGCAGTGTGGTATGTGCAGTGTGTTATGTGCAGTGTGGTATGTGCAGTGTGGTATCAGGTCTGTGCAGTGTGGTATGTGCAGTGTGGTATCAGGTATGTGCAGTGTGGTATGTGCAGTGTGGTATGTGCAGTGTGGTATGTGCAGTGTGTTATGTGCAGTGTGGTATGTGCAGCGTGGTATGTGCAGTGTGGTATGTGCAGTGTGGTTCTACAGTTATCATATTATACTCTAGAGTTATTGAAAAATGTGCGAGTTTCAAGAACTATACCAGCTGTTTTTCCCACTTTATGGAGAGTATGCTTATGATTATAGTTTCAATTAACACATTTTATAGATGATTGGATTTATTGTTCATTTGCATGCTATGTATTGTATTTCAGTTTATCTTTACCCATAAAGGGTTTGACCGTTGGGAGCGGTATCAAAAAAAAAGAACTATACCAGCTAAACAATATAGAGGCTGGGAAATTGAATGCACGTTTCTGCTCGTTAGATATTGCCTCTCCGAGAATTAGCGTGAACAGCCAGTGTATCTTTCTTTGAAGTCCGTCCCGAGTCGCTCGCTGGTCCAAAAGCGAAAAGGATGTGAAAGTTACAGGGCAGATTCGAAACTTGAGTGGTAGCAAAATCTCCAGAAACTGATTGAGTTAAATTGATGTGGTTAGTGGTCGGGATCAATGTCACAGTAATGACTATAGTGGACCGACTTAGAATTGGCGGTTATTTAGAAATTGTAACAATTTCATCCAATCAAAATACCCATAAAAATCAGTCCAATCACTTTTAATCGATTCTACGGTCAAAAACCCGTTTAGTAAAGTGTGTTCAAGGTTTCGAGTGGAAATACCGGGGATAATATTATCAGAGATCTCAATCGCCAATTCTAAATCACTCCACTATAGTCCATAGTCGTATAGTGCCATTTATGGAAAATAGGTGCATTAACTTACGCGCATAACAATAGGTGAAATAATAATATCAAAACACTGTTAATGTTAGGGATCTTGGATTCAGATTTCTGATCTTCAAAAGTTGTAGACGCTACGCCATTTAAACTAACTCTGTCTGTAGTAACATGTCAATTGTAACTGTAGCTATACTTTAAACTTATCAGTAGCCCTTAGCGAGTTTCCTTTTCCATTCTTAATTGATATAACATTATAGTTTCCCTTTATCGGCGAAGGAGGAGTTTTACGACTGAATTATAGATGACGGAACAGCGGTGAAAAGATTTGGAGCTAAGAAATCTAACTAAACACAGATTTAATTTTAACCGTACACGAGTCCAATTGTGGCCTTGTAAGTTTATTCCGAATTTCACTTTAATTGTCCGCAACTCACCTTAAATCCTTCGCAAACCGTTACTATTTATTTGCTATGCAATGATTATGCAAGGACGAAGGATATAAAAAGAATATTTCAATTTTCCCGGCAGATGATGAAAGACATGGACTACAAATTTGTATTAAAAATATATTTTGCAAGATGGATTGTGGAGCGGTATGTGTTATGATGAGGAAGGATTAGAATAATTTATGGACCTATCTAAATGTTACTGGTCACTCAAAGTCAGAGCTTTGGGCGGTCTGAGGTTTTAATATTTCCTTCTGACCACTTCGTTCGAGATGATCGAATTCCCAAATCAGAGCATAATGCTTTGTAATAACATCCAGACATTGTGGCCCCACAAGTCAGCGGGGGCCACTAGGTGTCAAAGATGGAAATAAGGTGTTAGTTTTTGGAATATTTAGCGCTCACAAGTAAAGCATATGATGTTCCGTATTCGTCTCAACATAAAGTGGGTTTAAGACTCCTCCAGTATCTCATTGCATTTCTGATTTTATTTGTCGTGTTTTCTTGTAGATTGTAGCTGGGGAGCGAATGCAGATCCTTACAGTTCGTGACCTTGATGTCCCCATTTGAGCACAGAGTTAATGAGTATGCGGTGAATAGGCGATAATGTTGGAAAATTTCAAAGTACATCAACTTTTAATCCAATTGTCACAGTGGATGTTTCCGAACTTCCAGCCATTATCTTTAGTGGTGTATTTGATTTTTGTGGGTAGATCGAATTAATCGCAAAATTATCTGACCAAATAAGATTAATCGTCCCCAACTGACACATTGTGCTATTTTGGTTACTCCAACTCCTTCTATTTCTCAGATTAATTCAATTGGAGGAAATTTCTGAACATGGGCGCTGACTGCAAATTTTCTCTGAAAAGATTCATTTCTCACAATTTGTTTATTGTTTAGCAGTGAAACCCGGAAACCTTGATAAATCAGCAAAATGAAGCTCCTCCTGACAGCACTGCTACAGGCACAGCTGTGCATATGCAGTTTGGCAGCACAACCAGAATACTATGGTTATTATGAGGATTCGGATGCAGCAGCATCAATTGCACCAGAAGTGGTAGATGCAGCAGACGCGGATGGCTGGGCTACAGGCCGCCCCATGACAGAAAGACGTCGGAACAGACCAACCTCTGAGCCGGTACAAGTTTTTGTTATTTCGTGAAAAATCCATCGGATACGTGATCTGAGCTGGCACTCAGTCAGTGATCTCTGCACTCAATCAGTGATCTCGTCACTCAATCTGACCAAGAGTAAGGCGTTAGCGTATATTAATGAGGTTCGTTAGGCTTTACCAAACATACTGAGGACATATCGACCTGATCATGATTGATTGGATACCGATAATGACTTTGCTAGACAGGAAAACACAAAGTTTTAGGATAAATGAAATCAACTAATCAAAATTCCCACACAAAAACAATTCAATAATTTCAATTAAGATGTTCAAATTGTCGTCCCCAAGCTGCAATCAGTATCACTTTGCGGCACCGCTTCTTTGGGTCGTATATTGGTCGTGCATACACTTTAAAATTTAAGGATTGGTGCAATTTAAACGGGGAGATGAGCCTTTTTTATTTTTGTCACGTGACAGTTATTTAAAGATATTATTGGGATTTGGAAGCAACTAGAAGCTGATTGGATAAAGGCTGTCGCAGTGTCCACCTTCCTTCAGCCACTGACAGTAGTGACCAATATAATTTATTTATTACGCTCGACGGCATTCAAGATCAATATTTAATTTAACTACCAGCTTATCAGAATTTATTTGAACGGACATTTATATGAACGATATGGCATCCAGCGCCTAATTAATGTCCGTTCAAATAAAGTCCGATAAGGTATACTCTCGATAAGTGTAGCGCTGAGATAAGGAATCGTTCAAAAATTGATTGTGTGGGTCGAACGGCTTTTAAAAAAGGAGCGCTTACCGGCATATGAAATTATACCGGACAAGACAAAATGTCTTGTAAAGTGCTGAGTGAGGATTCACCGTTAGAGTACTATAACAGGTGCCGTTATCTGACCCTGTAATCTACGTTTGGCGAGTGAATTAGACGTCTCATTACGCTGAGCATTATAGCACTAGTTTCATACCTTATCACTTTAGATTCTACATACTGAATACTGATATAAACAATAAAACCCGCAGAGACCATTGAGACAGATGCTTGGTGTGCAGCGTTATATAAATGATGTTGTGGACTCAGAGGTCCACGAAGAGGGAGTGAGATATAGGTTTGATGATAACGTTATCGAACGTGTGAGAGAGGACGTGATCCCAGAGCTGTGTTACTTGACTTCAGATAACATCACCATCTACAACTCCTTCCTGCTGGACCGAAACTGCATGGAAGAATTTGAGAGTGTCAGCCCTCAGTGCGTCGGATTCAAATGTGATCTCGCTCACTACTTTTTGGAACACGGAGCAAAGATATTCACGGACTTCTTCAACGCCACCGATTACAAGGAGGGCATGGAAATCATCCACAGGGAGTTGTCAACTGCATTTGAGAAATTGGACATGTGTACCTGCGGACGGGAGTTCTTCAAAGCTGCATTTAAATGTGCCCCATTGTAAGTATCGTGGTTGTTAAAATTAATATATATAATAAGCGTAGTATAGTGACTAGCGACAAGCAAGGAAAACCATAAATTATTTTAGCACCACATTTCCTAGAAATATGTCATTGATGGCCTCATATATAATAAAGGGTTCCCTAATAAATATACAATTGCTTAATTTGATAGTCTACCATTTCATTTGGACTGTTTAGATTTTTTTGCCACTGTATTTGCAGTCATCTCTACAAGTACAACGTGTGTTAACGAACAAATGAACTTTTCAGCTACAACGCCAATGCTCTATTTGCTGCAACGGGAAATTACGAGGATGATATTGTAATGTTCGGAAAGATCGCTAGAAACGTTGACGTTAAATCTGTAAGTAATTTAAAGTAACAAAAATAAAAATAAAAATAAAATAGGTTATATAATGGTTTGTCAGACGTTGCTCGGCCTGTCACGTGCGCTGATTACAATAGTGACAAACTCTGGTGTCTCTTACTAGGGGCAGTTATTGCATGTTAGAGAGTTAGATAATTGTTGCCCTCCTTAAAATCCAACTGTAATACGTACTTTAGTTTGGCAAGGCCTAAAGTTGGACTTGGTTGACTGTGATGCCTGCAACCTGGAAGCTGTAGTTGTGATCTCTGTCGAATATAGTTCGTAATTTAGACTAGATAGAGTTCCATGTGCTGCTTATAACTCTAGCGTATCATTCAGATTCTAGACTTATAGTTATGCATCACCAATTTTGAATAACAGTAGTACTTGTATTTACATTTCTTGGTTTATGTAAGCATATTGTTTACGATAATGTCCCACAGGCGAGCAAGTTCTTTGATAGATTGCTGGCGGGAGTGTGCGAGGAAACCAGCACTGGAATATGCCTCAACTCTATTTTCAACGGTAATGTTTGTTCAATATTCAGTATCGACTTTTTAATACTTCGCCACATAGAGCTTCGTAAGGGATCTTTAACTGGCTTAAGTAAAATGGGATCGATCCTCAACTAATATATCCATTTATGCAATATAGGTTCTAGAATAGAAAATGTTAGATATTTCATTACAGACACATTCATTCCTAGTTCTTGAAGAGTTAGTAGAGATGGGTGTGAATACTCTTGAGGATTTCGACGATTACGATGACGGTGACAGAAAGTACCAGAAGGAACAAGAAAAGCGTTGTGATGCTATGTTTGGCTCATACCGCGCTTGGGGTACGTTGTTGTAAATTAGATATGTTTAGTCGATGTTATTTTAGTAAGGAACAGCTGTAAAGTGTAAGGAGCTGTAACAAGCTGTGTAAGGAGCTGGCTGCTGATTAAATTTAAGGCTCGAAGTAACACTCGAAATTTAAACATCAGCTTTCTGTGCCTGTAACATTGTGAATAGTTTATGGTACACTTACCTTAGAGTTAGAAAGCATTCACGTACAATTATAACGTCAACTCCTGCGAGTTTGTTTTGTGGTACTGTGTAATAAGGTAAAAACATAATTCAAATTGATAAAGTTCAAATTCAAATACGAAGCAAAAATGCAGTTAATTAATTTTATTCTGAAATATTCACATAATATGCAGAGAAAGACGGTCGGGATCTGTCCGATTTTGACGGAGGAACTGAGGAGTTTTGGGAAGTGATGCTCAACATGACCGCCAAAACAACCAACGCTTTCTACTGCGAAAAGAAATGTAAGAAGGACAGAGGAGCCTTGTACCCGTGCTGTTTGAGGAGAATGCTGGAGGATGAGAGTAAGTACAGAATTCATTAGTGCAATAACCACGTAAAAGTGTGTTTTGGCACGTGGCAACGATCGCTCCTACTAAATCGCTCGCCCTTTAAGAAAATTCTTGTGAAAAGGCCCTTTGGGTGTGAAATTGATCTGAATCAGTGTATTTTTGGACGCTGATTCCGAATCACCCCCCCCATGACGTAGGGTAAAAATGCTTCCCTGGAGAGTTATGGGCAAAAAACCGTTTTGGTCACGTGACAGGCTAGTAAAACATGAATTCGAGTGTTTAGGCCGCTCGGGTTAGGGTTACCGTTAGGGTTGTGGTAAGGGTTATGGATAGCTTCGGGGTTATGGTTAGGGTTAGGGTTGGGATTAGGGTTTATGTAAAACCGTTTTGTACGGCTACAAAACCATAAAAACCAAAGTCACGTGAAATTTTTGGGCGAGCGAATTAGTAAGAGCCGGCAACGATACTGGAATTGTATTGGTTGAATCCTTTTTTAAGTTCACCTCTATTCCCTGGAGCCGCACGTCTTGTTAATGTTAATGTTTCGGAATCTTTGATAAAATTATATAGATGTACTTACATACGTTCGTGCATGGTCCGATAATATAGTATCTCAGCTCAAGAATAGAAATGATAATCCCTTTATTTCTACATGCGCTATGACTCTAGCTATTTTATCCACAGAAATGTTCGACAACGTTCAAAGAGTGGTTGAAAGTGTGTACAAGATCATTCCCGCAACGAATTACCGTTTTGAGTGGGACGGCTTTTACGAGTTAGTAATATGTACTCATAGTAAAAATTATGTTTTAATCAAGATTCAAGAGATATATACTATTATTAATTATTAATACTATAAGTATAATTATGATAATTATAATAATTATAATAATTATAATAATTATAATAATTAAGTTATACTTACACTTTTGCCGATGTTTAACATGTGCTTGTATATAATTATAATACGATAGCAGAATACGTTAACAACACTTTCTTCAACTATAGATATTCCTCGATAATGCCATCCTTGATGAAAATAAAAAGTGCAGTGTGGGCTTTGGTTTAGAAATTCCTAACCACATATTATTGAACTCTGCTTCTAGGTTGGAGTATCGTTTCGAAAGAGAATGGTCTGCTCAGGAATTGGAAGAGAGAGCCTCCTGGACGGTCCCTGCAAACCTTCGTGACGCCTTAATGAGGACTCTACACGCTGCAAAATATTGCGAGGTATAGCTCTAATATATACAAGGATGTTTAACTTTAACAACCTCATCACTCATTCTGTGCGCCACGCCCGATTTTAAACTGGATTACACAATGTTCTGAGTCCCGGTTGTAGTGGACAGTTAACAGAAGGTAGAATTGTGCAACTCTAAACGACATAGGACATAGGAATTGGTAAAATTTGAGATCTCTAGCTTGACTAACTACAAAATTTAATTTTCATTTCGTTTTCAGGGAAAGATTGTTAGGTGCTCCAAGTAGTTTCGTTGAAGTCTACGGAGATGGAATCGTACTTTGGACAATCAGACCATATGATATTTACTCACTATTACGTTATATCTTATTATTTTTATAGCTTATTTTTAGAACTAAAAAGTAACCAATGGCTAATTTTATATATTTTTAACCATTGTAAATTTATTTCACCAACAATTTTGTAATATTCGGTTTTGTTGCAAATATAAAATCTAGTGATAATTTGAAATAAAAAGCTTCAATTGTTGATTACGCGAATAGATTGACTGGCGATTTCAATCCTCCAAAGGCCTCGCAAGGCTTATTTTAGTTTTACTCGCCATGAGTGCGCTTTCATTTGAAATTGACACACGTTGTATCAGTATAACTATTATATAGTGTACTTATATATATAATACCTCTTTTCGCGGCGGCCTCCGGCCGATTAGAGGTATACAAGTTACAACGTGCTGCTTTCCTTCTCCCTTACTCTGCCTACGAAATCAGAAAAAATAAATTAATAAATATCCTTGTTGTTGTTGTTGTGTTGTTGTTGAAATCAAACAGAAAAATTGTCAAGCAGAAGTGAGGAAGTCACATAGCCCCTCACCTTTTTCACTAATCTATGTCAAAAGCAGTATTTAATTTAACGTTAAGTCAAAAATATTAGTATAACATAAGGGGTGGTTTTGAAAATTCGAACACACCCAGACAGGGGAGGGGGTGGTCTGAAAATCTGCGATTTTGGCAGACGTCTTTAGTAGATGGCCCCCTATAACATAATTATTTTTACTCTTAATAGAATAATAAGCCTCGTGTTTAAAAGCAGTTCAAGTTAAGAAAGTAAACTGTAAAGTTATGAAGTAAAGTTTGTTATGAGAGTTTAAAAAAATTCTTGTAGAATTATTGTTCATTGTTTAGCCAATTAACATTCAATATTTATTATTATATTAAAAAGTGAAACTACGATGAATGAAAAAGCCGTCAGAATTTGATGTACATAATCTATCCCTATTTTTTACCTCCTATAATTATAGTCCTAGTGATGTGCATGAAGACTGACCTGTGCTTTTCGAATGACATGAACTTATTACATGAACTAAATTACACTTCAGGATGGAAAGTTGTAGATACAGTTTGGGTAACGCCCTCTGGGCGCAGGTTATATCTCCGCCAAAAGCACATCCAATTTGATACGTATGAAATATGTCTAACTTCCTTGATTATGCAATAAGTTAGCTTTCTACGACCAAAATTGAACGGGGACCGGGAATCGTTTAAAATCACTTCTGAGGCACCTCGACAAAAGCTTCTCACGCTATTGTGCTTTTTTATTGTTTTTATGGAGAAATACGTCATTACTATTAGCGTTTTTGAGATTGTTAATCTCTTTCAAAAGTATTCCAAGTAATTTGTATAAGTGCATATATTAACTGTGAATATGTTGAAAAATAATTTATCTCGATTCATGTTGATTGACGATGATTGTCAACCCTTTCAGGTTGTTGCTCGATGCGAATTAACAAAGCAACGATTTTCGATGCGAAGTAAGAATGATAGTTTGCGCGGCGCGTCGAAGCGGCGAAGTCCTCCAAGATTCATGAAGTTTGAAAGAAATTGCAGCAATGTGCGCAATTTGGAGAGTGTGCTTCCGGCGGATATTATATATCCTGCACCCTCTGATAGTGGCTAAATAAAACAAAGAATAATTATAACTCGCTAAGATCAACTTTTAATCAAATTCATGCCAAAGTGGATTTTTCCGAAGGCCCGGCCAGGAATAGTATGATAATTAATTTGGAATTAATATTACAAATTACTCCATACTCTACACTCGTCTATCGCGTGATTTACTTAAAGTTAAATACGTTCTCTAGATGGCCCTGAGGGGCTATTCAATATCATAACCCTCTATTATGTGTTCTGACCACAACTAAACCATATACAATATAAGTATAAACTTTAACTAATCGAATCCTAACTAGACTCAATCCCTAACTAAGGTATATGCCACAATTTATAAAAACCCTTGTCCCTTAGTCTTACTAGAAATTAAATCAACTTCCTCATAAGATGGTCATGTCACGTGATAGAAACGGTTTATATGTTATATCGCATTTTAATCCCCGTTATACTTGATAAACGTTGTAATATAACATTAACTCCTTTTCGCGTGCGGCAGCCTCAAGCTACAAAAGGCTGTCTCCCATCTCCGGCTGGCCGGAGTGCACACATCGTTGCTCTAACCAAAGCTCTCGCGCTTGCAGTTGCAGTAGTATGTAGTACTACTACTAGTAGTAGTAGTATAGTACGCGACGACTCATGATTATGTGAACACGCATCGTGCATGAGACAGGATTACTACAATTGTTACCAGGCTTGTCCGCCGTGGCTAAATGGATCGGCGGCGGCGTTTCACTAAAATTACACCGGCGGCGGCGGCGTACGCCGGCGTGAGCCGTGAAATCAAGGCCAACTAAATTGAGGTCTATGAAATATGAATATGATCATGTACTTAATTTGGGTAATTTAGACTTAACTTCAACAAATGATGTTGGTATATTGTTATGGTATTATCTGCTATCAAATAAAAGTTGAGACAAATTGATACAATTATTTTATTTAAGGTAAAATACATAAACAATAAATTATTGCTGAAATCAATTGAATATGGATCTCTCAATCTTTTTTGTTGGAAACAAAATCATAGTTTTTAGAACAAAACAGTGTATATTTGAAATCTCATTAAACTATATAAAAAATAAGAATAAAGAATAAGGAAAAGGAACAGGAATGAAGCCAATACCAGAAGTGAAACCCCACCAAAGAATAATTGATCCTTAGGTAGACCTGGTGAAATAAAGTAACTGAACTGTAAGTTTAAGAAAAGACGGAAGGAATAAAGGAGAGAGGAAATAATGTTATGTGAACATCATCAGCAGATGACTTGGCACACCGGTTTCGGGGGTTTAATACCTGTACCGGTTTAATGTGCCAAGACCCCCTAGCAATCACTCGTCAGTGATCACCTGTTCACGTTAAATGTGATGTCAAGGATGTCGCTGACATCAAGTATACTGTATTTGTACAGAATACTAGGCCGGTCTTTCAGAAGCTTTCTGAATTTACTCTTCAGGAGTCTGTCATTATAACATCTTGAAAGAAGTGTCCTATAAAGGGTGTTGGTAGAACACAGAAAAGAATCAAGGTCAGAGATAATGGAAGAGTAACGAAGGACCTGACCGTAAAAAACATTATAACCAACAGAAGAGGAAATATTACTGTTAGGAAAGGTGTACATGACCACAGGAAAGTTGAAGTCATCAAGTTTGTTGTAAAGCTTGGTGGCGACGTGTCCGGAGTTATTCATCGAGATGTTGATGTCGAGATAGTTTACGGACTTATTGTCGTCACCACTCCTCTCCATAAGCAGGTCAGGTGGATAAATGGACCTGATTAGGTTAGAGAAATGCAAATAGTTCATGGTGTTGAGGTCGTCGACATATCTGCAGTTTCTTGAGAGGAGCTTAGCGAGACCGAACTTCTTTTCTTTGATTAGGCGTGTCATGTAGTTGAATTCACACTTCCCTAGCGAAAGATCAGCGAACTGGCTACTAGAATTCCCTCCCATGGGAATGCCTTTCGTTTGTCTTAAAATCTGATCCCCAAAACAAACAAAAGTGTTAAACAGAATAAATGTAATAGCTGTTTTGAGTTTATCAGCAGAAAAACATAAGTATCCGTTATATTCCTTTTTAGAGAAAAAATTGTTGTTCTTATACAGAGAAACACAAATAAATTTATTCGTATTACTAAAGAGGAGATCTATTAGCTCGAAAAGCAGTGACTGTACAACCTGAAGTCCTAGATCGCTGACTAGAAAGAATTAAACCTGCAGCCGACCAGGTTCTTTCAATTTCCGCACTACTGGCAGGTATACAATGCACTATTCTTACTATGTTTGAGAGTATTGGGAAAGTTTTTTGCCTATCGGCCCAAAATCTTAAAAGTTCGAATTGTAAAATTTCTTCTTCGCAGTCAAACTTATGAGTAGGTATCTGCTCAGTTCTTCTGATAATCAATATTGTTAAGTTAGCTAAAGGTGTGTATCATGTGTGTGTTGCCCCTAGCCGCTAATCGCTATCAGTAACTCTGATATCTTCAAATGAAGACAGAATTATTTTGAAGTCAGGAAATGCACGCTGTACGCCGATGTACGCCGGGGTGTATCGGCGGCGTTCGGCGTGGCAAAATCACCCGGCGGCGGCGGCGTTCGGCGGCGGCGGACAAGCCTGATTGTTACACCGTGTAGCAACTAATGTGTGATTAGGGATCATCGTTCAAAAATAAATTAATCGCTTCATGTTATAGTTTCATGTTATACTTATATTTATAGTTTCAACCTTTAGACAAACTTTCAAAAATCTCGAAGTTCTAGGTCCAGTGTAAAATGATTTAGCACGCTCGAATAATAAAATTAAAAGGACTTTAAATATAAAAGTCGACGGCCGTCGTCAGTCGTGCTTGCCAGATTTATGTGGATGGATCGAATTAATTGCAAAATTATCTGACCAAATTAGATTTTCTGTCCACTAATACAAATGTCCTATAGTGTGCTATTATGGTAATACCTAGCTTGCTAGCATGACGTAGCACGGTGCCGGCACGATAGTCTATTGCTGAATTCTCTGTAGTCTATATCAATGACAATATGCAAGAAGTGGAAAGAGCGCCGCGAAAAGGGCATTGCGTGCCAGTTATTATTTTGGTAGCTCCAGCTCTTATCTTTCTCCCATTAACTCAATTGAAGAAAATTACTGAGCGGCAGCCACCAGAACATCGGTGCTGACTGCAAATGTTCTCTGGGAAAATTCATTTCTCACAATTTGTTTATTGTTTAGCAGTGAAACCCGGAAACCTTGATAAATCAGCAAAATGAAGCTCCTCCTGACAGCACTGCTACAGGCACAGCTGTGCATATGCAGTGTGGCAGCACAAGAAGAATACTATGGTTATTATGAGGAAGGAGCTGCAGTGGAAGAAGAGTATGCGGGAGAAAGATTCTACACACGTCGCAACAGACCTACCACTGAGCCGGCGGGAGGAGAATCACACCGCACACGCAGACGTCACACTCAACCGCGACTGATCACCGAGCCGGTACATGTTAATCAGACTTTTAATAAAAAGTTTTAAAAAGCCCCTTACTGGTGCTGAGTGCAAGGGTTTCCCCTTAGAGTTAGACTTAGAGTACTAGTACTACAGCAATTACATGCATGGGCCGTTATTTGGCCAGATGTAATCTATGTTTGGCGAGTGAATTAAACAGTCCATGCATCTCATTGAGCTTAGCAACACAGCACTTGTTTTATACCTAATCTCTTCAGCTCTTACATACTGAACTAAATAATAAAACCCGCAGAGACCAATAAGAGAGATGCTTGGTGTTTATCATGACGACATAAATGATGTTGTGGACTCAGAGGTCCACGAAGAGGGAGTGAAATATAGGTTTGATGATAGCGTTATCGAACGTGTGAGAGAGGACGTGATCCCAGAGCTGTGTTACTTGACTTCAGATAACATCACCATCTACAACTCCTTCCTGCTGGACCGAAACTGCATGGAAGAATTTGAGAGTGTCAGCCCTCAGTGCGTCGGATTCAAATGTGATCTCGCTCACTACTTCCTGGAACACGGAGCACAGATATTCACGGACTTCTTCAACGCCACCGATTACAAGGAAGGCATGGAAATCATCCACAGGGAGTTGTCAACTGCATTTGAGAAATTGGACATGTGTACCTGCGGACGGGAGTTCTTCAAAGCTGCATTCAAATGTGCCCCATTGTAAGTATCATGGTTGGTATAATTAATTTACATAATAAACGTAGTGACTAGCAACAAGCAAGGAACAACTTACGACCATGAATTTGTATAGCACCACAGTTCCTAGCAACATGTCATTGTCATGTAATACTAATGGATGGCCTCATAATCATATATAATAATTTGTTCCCTGATAAATATACGATTGTTTCATTCAGTTCACAATTTCATTTGGACTGTATATAATTGGATTTATTTTCTTGTCATTGTAGTCATCGCTACATAACAACATGTGTTACTAGCTGTTACTGTTAATTCATAATTAACGAACAAAATATGAACTTTTCAGCTATAACGCCAATGCTCTTTTTGCTGCAACTGGCAATAACGAAAATGATATTGTAGCGTTCGAAAAGATTGCTAGAAACGTGGACGTTAAATCTGTAAGTAAAAAATATTAAAAAAAATAATGATTTTATGTTTAATTTGAGTTTGACAGAGCCTGGACTGTAGTTTGCCAGAGTTTACCTCTGTCGAATATTCATATTGATGTATAGTTTGTGTCAAACTACAATAGGTGTATCCATTCAGATTCTCGACTTTTGTGTTATGTATCACCAATTTTGAATAACAGTAGTACTTGTATTTACATTTCTTGGTTTATGTAAGCATATTGTTTACGATAATGTCCCACAGGCGAGCAAGTTCTTTGATAGATTGCTGGCGGGAGTGTGTGAGGAAACCAGCACTGGAATATGTCTCAACTCTATTTTCAACGGCAATGTTTGTTCAATATTCATTTATTATTCGATCACCAATATATATATATATTGGTTATATAGTTAGTTATATATATATAACTCTTTGAACTTCAGCTGTCACTGTCGACTTTTTACACTTCGCATCTGGCATCATAGCTGTTTGTAAACTAGCTTACGTAAGTGTAACATGTGAACGATCCTCAACCAAGTTCCATTTATCATTATGCAATATGGGTTCTAAAATATTAAATGCTAGATATTTCATTACAGACACATTCATTCCTAGTTCTTGAGGAGTTAGTAGAGATGGGTGTGAATACTGTTGAGGATTTAGACGATTACGATGACGGTGGCAGAAAGTACAAGAAGACTCAAGAAAAACGTTGCGATGCTATGTTTGGCTCATACCGCGTTTGGAGTACGTTAATATAAATTATATACGTAGTCATACGTACTTTTAGTACTAGAACGTAACAGCTGTAAGGAGCTGTATCTGCTATAATTGAGGCTCGAAATAACACTCGAAATTTAAACACCAGTTTTCTGTGGCTGCTATACTGTATTTGTAAATAGTTGTACATTTTAATTTCAAATTTATCATGACCATGTACACTTTAAGAATAAGTTTAATATATAACTTTAGAATATATAACCTTAGAATATATAACCTTAGAATATATAACCTTAGAATATATAACCTTAGAATTAAAAAAGGGTTCACATATAAAATTAAAATTATATAAATATAACGTCAACTCCTGAGGGCTGGGACGAAGGTTTTTAGCCACTTAGTATACTTAAGTTCAGTTCAAATAGTTATAGGCAAGAAGGAAGTTAATAAATTTCACTCCGTAATATTTACAAATGCAGCTAAAGACGGTCGGGATCCGACTTTTGACGGAGGAACTGAGGAGTTTTGGGAAGTGGCGCTCAACATGACCGCCAAAGCAACCAACGCTTTCTACTGCGAAAAGAAATGTAAGAAGGACAGAGGAGCCTTGTACCCGTGCTGTTTGAGGAGAATGCTGGAGGATGAGAGTAAGTACATAATTCATTACTATTAGTGCAATAGCTACGGTTCGGTAAAATAACGTCCGATAAGGTCGGTATCATCTCATTCTCAGCTCCAGGATTTAATTACATCTCCTTTATTTTTATGTAGTTGAAGTTCTCTATTGTATATGCAGAATGGCTATAGCTTATAGCTATTTTATCCACAGAAATGTTCGACAACGTTCAGAGAGTGGTTGAAAGTGTGTACAAGATCATTCCCGCCATGGATCCCGACTTTGAGTGGCAAAGCTTTTACGAGTTAGTCAAAATAACGTTAATTTACACTGTAGTTGTACCTACAAATCTGCCGTGATGTTACACAATGTGCTTGTAATTGCAATTGTATATAATACATAATATGTGTCATCGTGTATATATAGTAATCATCCGCGAATTTGTCAACAACATTTTTGTACTCAGCTATAAGTATAGGTTTAGAAACTAACCTAACCACATTAGTATCGAATTCTAACTCTGTTTCCACATTCCAGGTTGGACAATAGTTTCGAAAGAGAATGGTCTGCTCGGGAAATGGAAAAGAGAGCCTCCTGGACGGTCCCTGCAAACATTCGTGATGACTTAATGAGGACTCTACACGCTGCAAAATATTGCGAGGTATAGCTCTAACAAGGTTGTTCAACTTGATCACGGATGATTAGATGATCAATGATACTCGTCTAGATTTTTTCGAAGTACTCAAGTAGCCTGTAGCACTAAAAACGCGCCGTTTTCTTCTCGAAATTTTAGCCGGGTTAGTCCATTAACAATAGAAAATTGTTCATAACAACTTCATCATTGAAACACGTTCAACGTTGCATACCTGATACCTGATTAGATACCACTTTTTCGCGCGCCGGCCGGCTTCGCGTCATGTACGAGACAGGCTGCGCTCAGGTTGAGGTATGCAATGTGTATCAACCTCATCACTCATTCTGTTCACGCCTTTTAAAGTGGGCTGCACAATTTCATATTCTGAGCCCCGGTTGCAGTGGACGGTAACCGTAAACAAAAGTGAGAAGGTAAAATTTTGACCATTGTTAATTTAATGGTCTGGCCCGGCGCGCGCTACTTCGTAGCACTTGCATCGGGCTTGCCATCGGGCTAGAAAGCGGCGCGCGCTACTTCGAAGAAATTTAGACGAGTAACATCCGTCAAGTAAAATTGTGCAACTCTACCGACTTAGGATTAGGAATTGGCAGAATTTGAGATCTCTTGATAAACTACTAAATTTAATTTTCATTTCGTTTTCAGGGAAAGATTGTTCGGTGCTCCAAGTAGTTTCGTTGAAGTTTATGCATTATGGAGATGGATCACTCGTACTTTTGCGACTCCAAATTGGATAATGGATAATGGATAATGGATAAACATAAGGCCAAGGGGCCGTTCACATATTACGTAATCAGCCGAGGGGGGGGGGGGGGGGGGGGTTTTGGTTTCCAAGCGCAAAGCGATTACGCTAGTGTAATTTTGACACAATAGCTGTGTAAAACTGATTACGGAGGGGGGGGGGGGGGGGGATTGTCTAAAAATTGATTACGTAATATGTGAACGACTCCTAAATTTGAATTTATTCAAAAGTCAGACCACCTGATATTTACTCACTATACTTTAACCAATAACGCTATATCTTTAACTTTAACTTTAAGCTTATTTTTAAGTTTTTAGAACTAAAAAGTTTCCAATGGCTATTTTTATTATAATTAAACGGTTTTTTACCATCGTAAATTCATTTCACCAATATGTTTTTAATGTTCGGTTTTGTTGCGAATATAAATTAGAATCACAATCATTTGATATACAGAGCTTCAATTGTTGATGACGCAATTAGATTGACTGGCTATTTCACTCCTTTGAGCTGGCCTCGCAAGACTTTTACTAGTTCTTCTGCCAGTGCGCTTTCATGCTTTTCTCCCTCTCTCCACACAGCAAGTTCCTGCACCCTGCTGCTATTGTTTTTAAATAGCAGCAGACAGTTTCCTTACCGCCAAAACCTTTAAGGGACAATAGTTACGGTAAATTACTAAACAACTTATTTGTGAATAATGATAAAAAGCATACAAAAATAAAAAATCTGAACACCATCTAATTAACGAAATCAACAAAAATAAATTCAAAAATCCTTCTACGGAAATCAAACAGGAAAAACAAAACAGTCAAGCAGTAGTGAAGAAGCCAAATACGGCAGGTCAAAGACGTTCAAAAATTTAACACAAAATAGTGAACATAACATAATTATTTATACTATAACGTGTACGTCATTATGACATGCTTTACCCAAAACTACCATCCTTAATAACATGTACATAATATCTTGGATCATTTCCATAGTATATTAAAACCTATCCGACTGATTGAATGATGATAAATCACTCTGCACTGGACCATCACGTGTCTGACTTTTATACGGTTTCTATGTGGCCCTGACAAGTGACAAGTAGTCGAAAAAAAAGTTGCAATCATTCGCCGATAACTCAAAAGGGAAGCATTTAAACCCTCAATCATGCGGCGTGATTCAAAATCATTGTTAAAAAATACGTCGAAACTTCCGAGGGGCTCTTTTAGAAAAATCTCGACCTTGATTTAGCACGCTGATTGTGACTGATTACGTGAATGTGGACGAGTTCCAATAACTATAACCATCTTAGCCCATGATATTATCATAAGATTATCTTTTCAAAATGTTCAATCTGTACCATAGCTTTAATGTCAAATTGTCATGCTGCACCGATTTAAAGTTGGCACGTCGTGACGTCAGAGCAGAGAAACATCTAAATCTGAGTCGCTATCTCACGTTGTATCTTCTGAAGTGCGGGGAGCATCTTGGTCCATCGAACTGAAGATTTGGCCACGTCGCTCTCAACAATCAAGAAGTTCCTGTTCGCCTGAAAATTTGAATATCGGGTAATTAACTTAAAGCGGTGCATAATATTTCAAGACACACATTTTTCAGCTAAATTATAAATCGTGTAAGAATATGACGCACTAGTTTTCACTTCCAGTTGTAATATCACAATATCATAACACTAACCTGGTAGCAGAGAGAAGCAACTTTAGTAAGCAGCTTGTTGGGGTTAGGCTGCGTTACATCTAGCCCCTCTACAACCCGATATGCTATCCGAGTCAACTCTTCCAGGTTCTCAGACTCCTGCGCTAATTTATCTGTTGGATGAAGAGAAACCGTTAGTCCGGCTCGTTTACCCACAACATTTAAACTCGATTTTTGTCTCGTTTTAATTGGGACTATCCGTAAACATTCGTGGAGATTAAGGATAATTTCATTAGACACATAACACTGCACTGACCGATGGCATCAAGGTAACTGATAATCTTTTCCAAGACTGTTTCCAGCAGCTCATCCACTTGAGCTAGGTACTTCTTATTTTGTCCATACAGTTTATCATTGGAAACTACCTGAGATCAAAGGTCACTCAACAAGTTGTTACATAACACGGCGAATGATACCATAATTAACAGTTAACTGGGAGTGGGATTCTAGCCACAGCCGTATTTCATGCCATGTTTAAGTAGCCGAAGAATCCAGGTCCAAGGAATCCAAGGAATCCAAAATAGAATAGACCATGCTGACCCACCAGATGAATTAACAGTTAAAATATAAGTAATCTAAAAAAGTTATTAACTATAGTAATTAATTAGCACATATATTTAAATATCGTACGAAGGATAAGAATGGTGACTTACATTTTGAATGTTGAAACTGAAGGTAGGTTGTCCGATAGACAGCAGATAACTCAACAGAACTCCCCGTACTTTAAGATTCCCGTTACTCGACCAGTGTTTGTAAGACTCTATAGCACTGCACAACTCACTGAAAACAAGTTAAACCATAAAATAAGGCATACCCGCCTACGTTGGCTCGACGACGCAATCTCCATTTCTGATTGAACTTGTAGCGCATTCATGTCCATTTAAAAAAATTCTAAATATGCAATTATGAAAACTTGTTTTATGCTACATATTAAGAATGTTTTAATAAATCACCGGAAAATGTGCAGCGGTTGCTGAGCGGGGTTGTCAGGGACATATAGCAGACTGGAGAGGTATCTGGATACCCAGTCAATGAGGCGGCGCTCCGTGGAATACTGACGACCGTCAGTTCCAGTAAGTGAAGGAGGAACTTCGCTTATCAGCGTCAGTGCTTCTTTGTAGAGGGAGTCACCTGTATTGCATACTCGTTTTAGAATTATAACTAGAGAGAGTCTACCAAGTCTACACTACTACAACACGGACGTCCCTCATCTTTCAGACATAAGTTGTGCATATAATTTAAAAGTGATTCTTGTTTAAAAAACTGCTTCTGAAGGTTTCGTTACAAGTAGTAAACCCACACTGAACAAGAGAGGAGTTGAGAAGGGCCACCTGACCAGCCAGCAGGTAGAGGTCTAGTCGGGCAAAGTAACAAAGTATGCTGGGTATAGTGATGTAACTGTAGGCCACACAGCCCCTCACAAACGAGCCACTCTTCTTGTTGTGGTTCCCCTGGGGAGTGGAGAAGTAGTTAACACTGGATAATTTGGGGGGGGGGGGGGGGGGGCGGGAGATGTTGGGGTGGGGGTGGTGGGCATTTTACGACTCAGTTATCTTGCGCCCCATTGATGTCTTTGATCACGTTTAAAGAGTTCAGACCTTAAACACCCTAGGGTATTGTGAGATCTGACAAACCTTGGTGATATTTAGAGTCTGGACTGCAAGAGAACAAACACTTTGAACCAGGTAAAAGAGAATAGAGTCCAGGTTAGAGAATGCATCACGACACTCCACGTAGAATCCTAGCTGTTCCTCAAAGTCTCTACCGTAACTCACGGAGGATATGAAGTTGTTTATCAGCTCACTGCGGTTATGTTTTATTTAGCAGGAAGTAGAGTATACAGAGGAACATGGAATATTCAGCTGGTAATAGGGATAAAGAAATAGGATAAAGAGTCTTTATTAGTTTATAAAAGACCACTTTCTTATAAACATACGTACAAACTCTGAAGATACAATAAACAAGTACAATCTCTGGAGATACAATAAACAAGTACAAACTCTGGAGATATAATAAACAAGTACAAACTCTGGAGATACCATAAACAAGTACAAACTCTGGAGACATAATAAACATGTACAAACTCTGGAGATATAATAAACAAGTACAAACTCTGGAGATATAATAAACAAGTACAAACTCTGGAGATACAATAAACAAGTACAAACTCTGGAGATATAATAAACAAGTACAAACTCTGGAGATATAATAAACAAGTACAAACTCTGGAGATATAATAAACAAGTACAAACTCTGGAGATATAATAAACAAGTACAAACTCTGGAGATTATATAACAAACAAGTACAAACTCTGGAGATACAATAAACAATTAGTACAAACTCTGGAGATACAATAAACAAGTAGAAACTCTGGAGATATAATAAACAAGTAGAAACTCTGGAGATATAATAAACAAGTACAAACTCTGGAGATATAATAAACAAGTACAAACTCTGGAGATAACTGTTGTCCTGAATGAAACGCTGAGAGTAAAAAGTAAAACCTGATATCTCTTTTCTGATCTTCGTTTGTGAGTGCATTTACGGAGTTGTGGAGAGTTTTACAGATGTAGATAAAACTGCTGACAGCTATCGGACTACGCGTGCTTCCTTCGTTCTTACTGGAATGTAAGATATGTTGTCCTGGGTCACGCTAATTTTAGAAGGGTTCATTTTTGGAAAGAAAAAATTCAACGATTGATGGAAAAAAGGAATCGCAAAATCTCACTTGTCACCATACCTTCTAAAAGCAGAGAGGATGGACTTGCAAGCCTCCACTTTAACACTTTCTTTTTGAAACAGGTCAAGGAACGGGAGGAATTTAGATAAGGAGAACAGCTCTGTTACATCGTCTTGAGAAGATAAGAGAATGGACAATATCTTATCCAACTGAAACGCAAAGAATTTCAATTAATCTGGAGCGGGTTTCCTTTAAAAATTTGATACATTCAGAGTGTCTGGTTCTAAAAAGCTCACGACAGCGTTTTAATTTTATATAAAATACAGTAAAAGCATTTATGTTATTAAGAAAACTTACAGCGGGGTAGCAAGCTTCAAAAGTTCTGGCAGGCAGCAAGTGCTTGATAATATCATCCAGAATCACATCCAGGTCTTTTGTGTTGTTCATCTCCCTGAAAGTTAAAATGAAATAAAGTGCTTGAATACCGTCCATATGGTTAGCAACTGACACAAGTGTCAGGTACTAACCATGTCAGAGCTGAGAGCGGTTCTAAAGAGTGAGGTGAAAATATCCAGCAACAAACAACTAAATCATCTCAAAAACAAATCTATCCAGAAAAATATCACTTTAATTATATCACATAGTAATCATAGGAAGATTTATTGATATATACCATTCTACGATTAACAATAGACCACCAGAAAACACGGGTGGCAGACAACTGAACCCAATTGAACCTAGTTCCCACGCGGCTACCGGACAACTGAACCCAATTTGGACTTTTCCTGGACAGGGTAGCTTGGGAAAATAATTATAAACCCAATCAGACTACCTAATTAACTTTGAAACGACAACTGAACCCAATCGTCACTAGAAATCACTAACAGTTTAACAGGTTTCCAAATACCGTTCTAGTTTAGCTGCTGCCTGGTTTCTAGTGCTAGATCACAAGCCTAGATCTCCATGGTCAAGGAATACATGAGCAGGATATTTCTTGATTGTGTACTTCTGGCATCTCCAAGTAGAGGTAGTAGGGGTATCTCGATCCTTTCTCCGGGTGTAGAGGAAACCGTCTGTGTCCAGAAGTAGTTGAGCTCCTCTTTGTCCGCTGATGTACTTGCTGAAGACAACCATGATTCGATACTGTGACCATTATCTCTCTTCCTTATGTATTGATCCGATCTGTATAACAAGCGTACTAATATATGACAAGGTCTCAGGTGCCTTTCGATCGCGAGATCTGATCTAACAAGCTTACGTGTTCACGAAGCGTGCCGAAAAGGATACGATCCACTGCTCCTCAAGCATCGAGATCCGACCCAGGGCTCAAGATCTGAACCATGACAGGCCCTCCCAAAGCATCAGGAGTCACGAGATCTGAGTCAAGTAACCTGAGCCAAGTATACAGCGTGCTAATGGTGCGTTCCATCAGCTTTGGAAGACATGAAACAGTGGAACTATAAGATCGCCCATCAAGATCTGTATCTACAAGGCTAACTTTCAAAGCTAGTTACTGACAGGTGTCGATAACATCAACAGAGACGCAGCAAAACAGTTAGCTCTAAAACAGTAAAACGAGTGGAACACCGTAGAAGAGATGTGTGTGATGCAGGCCACTCCAACGACTAGGAGGAGACCTTTTCAATCTTCACGTAGCATGTATTTATTAATATTTTACCGGGGTAAGCACAGGGCTCCAATGCTCTAAATTACAGTGGTCATGATCTATCCTATAGTGATAATGACCACAGTCCCCTGCGAAGAAGGAGAACCTGAAAATCCGATCGTTGGGTTCAGTTGTCGTATTTCCTTGGGTTCAGTTGTCGTATTTCCAATTTGGTTGCAGTTGTGATATGACCTGGGTTCAGTTGTCGTTTTGGGATTTAAGCTGATTGGTCACCCAATTAAGCTGATTGGGTGCCTGTTAACTGCGTGGGAACTAGGTTCAATTGGGTTCAGTTGTCTGCCACCCTCCCACGCAGTTAACAGGCACCCAATCAGCTTAATTGGGTGACCAATCAGCTTAAATCCCAAAACGACAACTGAACCCAGGTCATATCACAACTGCAACCAAATTGGAAATACGACAACTGAACCCAAGGAAATACGACAACTGAACCCAACGATCGGATTTTCAGGTTCTCCTTCTTCGCAGGGGACTGTGGTCATTATCACTATAGGATAGATCATGACCACTGTAATTTAGAGCATTGGAGCCCTGTGCTTACCCCGGTAAAATATTAATAAATACATGCTACGTGAAGATTGAAAAGGTCTCCTCCTAGTCGTTGGAGTGGCCTGCATCACACACATCTCTTCTACGGTGTTCCACTCGTTTTACTGTTTTAGAGCTAACTGTTTTGCTGCGTCTCTGTTGATGTTATCGACACCTGTCAGTAACTAGCTTTGAAAGTTAGCCTTGTAGATACAGATCTTGATGGGCGATCTTATAGTTCCACTGTTTCATGTCTTCCAAAGCTGATGGAACGCACCATTAGCACGCTGTATACTTGGCTCAGGTTACTTGACTCAGATCTCGTGACTCCTGATGCTTTGGGAGGGCCTGTCATGGTTCAGATCTTGAGCCCTGGGTCGGATCTCGATGCTTGAGGAGCAGTGGATCGTATCCTTTTCGGCACGCTTCGTGAACACGTAAGCTTGTTAGATCAGATCTCGCGATCGAAAGGCACCTGAGACCTTGTCATATATTAGTACGCTTGTTATACAGATCGGATCAATACATAAGGAAGAGAGATAATGGTCACAGTATCGAATCATGGTTGTCTTCAGCAAGTACATCAGCGGACAAAGAGGAGCTCAACTACTTCTGGACACAGACGGTTTCCTCTACACCCGGAGAAAGGATCGAGATACCCCTACTACCTCTACTTGGAGATGCCAGAAGTACACAATCAAGAAATATCCTGCTCATGTATTCCTTGACCATGGAGATCTAGGCTTGTGATCTAGCACTAGAAACCAGGCAGCAGCTAAACTAGAACGGTATTTGGAAACCTGTTAAACTGTTAGTGATTTCTAGTGACGATTGGGTTCAGTTGTCGTTTCAAAGTTAATTAGGTAGTCTGATTGGGTTTATAATTATTTTCCCAAGCTACCCTGTCCAGGAAAAGTCCAAATTGGGTTCAGTTGTCCGGTAGCCGAAAACACTTCAAAAGTATCAATGTAGAATACCAATTCCATTTAAAAATAATTGTTCATGTTTTTTTGAAGACTCAAATTGAGGATAAAATTGAAATGAGAACTCACAGGCAGACAAACTGGAGCCAGACGACAGCACTCTCCATGTACTCATCAATCTGCCCCTCCAGGGATGAGAGCTGAGTCCACACCACCTTGATCAGCTTCTTCCGGTCACGTGTCGACATAGTCCTGGCTTGTGACGTGTTACCATGGTTACCATTTGTCAGCTTGTCGCCTGATGGAGTCTGGTATTACTATTAGCAAAACTCTTGTTACTTTCCAGTTATTAGGCAAGTTCCTTGTGCTTTTGTTTAATTATTGCAGAAGAAGTAAAATCATCCACCCTACAGCAAAGAATAAGGATGAGAATGTGCGTGAAAGCAGTTTTAGTTAATTGAGCAGCTGTAAAGTGTGAAGTATAGTTATGAAGTAGAGTTTGCTATGTTTTTAAGAACAATTCACGATTTGTCAGCAGAAGTGCTAACTGCTCACGTCTGGGTATAAATGATTTCAGGTTTGCTTTCCCTATTAGAATATTGAGGGGTCCATTGTTATTCGTTATAGTATTCACACCAATATTCGTTGATATATAAAGTCTGACTCCTCTAGTCACTTAGGCACTTCCAACAAGGTATATTAAGGATTAAACTGGAGTTTCAACAAAGCTGCAAACTTCTACATGGGAATCTCTTACCAAGGTTTTTGAGGAGGTAGAAAACAGGGAAGGCAGTCTCCTGGCACTTGATCACCTGATCCACTAGCTCGAACACGTGATCAGTGATGTAGTTGTATGGTAGAGAGGAGAGTATCGCGTTCAGGAGGATACCACTGTGGAGGTTCATGTGAAGTTACTATTAGCAACTGTGCAGGTTCATGTGAAGTTACTAAGCAACTGTGCAGCACTTTCAGATAGATTGTATCTCAAAAACTTGTCCGGTGTTTACTGTCTTAAATAATACCGATAATATGAAGCATGTTGTTTGAGTGTGTTGACCTACTTGTTCTGGATCTCGGAAGCCTGCACGATAAGCTGTTCCAAGTCGTGGGAAGAGAGATGTTGACCCAAGCAACTGAGCAGCCAATCATAAGCCGGAGTGTGTGTTATACAATATCCTCCGATACTCGTGTCCTTCAGCCGCTTGCCCCTACTCAGAATCTGCGACATATCGATTTATGTTTTAAATAACTCCATTGCAAAGCCGGTTACTAAGGTTACAGCCTTAAATCCTAGAAAATAGTTAATCTAAGAATATGCCGTAGATAAGGTGCCTTGGTCGACTAAGAAACTGGAAAGTTTAACATTATAAGTTTCAGTAAACAAGTTATTAAGAAAAAGGCTGATTTTTTATACCATGGGCTATTATGAGTGATGGAACATGTCAACGTACCTGAGGATAGATAAAAAGTGCGTCCTGGAAGAGAGGGTGAAGATAAGAATCGAACCCAGGATCAACTACAGCCCCGACTCGACAAACAAAACACCGTAGATAGTTCGCAACCAGAGGGTCACCTATACCGCGAGCTGGAAGATGGGGATTTATTATTTGATTAATTAATTAATAATTTATTTAATTAATTAAATTCATTATTTAATTATCATCACATAGTTCGTATAGTTCGTATAGTTCGCATAGTTCGTATATCAAATCGTATCAATAAGAACGGCATTATATGGTCAAGTGATGCATTGTTGTCGTTTAGTAATTTTGCTCTAAATTTGTGTTTTTCACTTTGCATTATAAGCTGTGACGATAACTTTATTTCTCCCATTAAAGAATTGTCTCTTACTTAAAAAGTGGAACAATCAGCATCAGAATAATTTGATAAAATGTATCTTTACCTCCTAGAGTGATGTGCATGAGCACTGATCTGTGCTCGTCGGATGACATGAACTTATTACACTTCAGGATGGAAAGTTGTAGATACAGTCTGGGTAACAGCTCTCTGATAGAGGCTAACTGAAACAAGGAATAATTATTACTCTACCCGCTAAGATCAACTTTTAATCAAATTGCCAGAGCGGATGTTTCCAAAAGATGATGATTAATTAGCAATTAGTATTACTAATTATTCCATACTCTAACCGCCAAGAATCATCTACAATTATCGATGGTTGTAGATCAGAGAACCTTTGAACAAGCTTATTTATCATATAACAATATATATTGCCCCTGATATTATTACTCTAAAAATGAGATAAAACGCGCACCTTGAAAAACCAGTTAGAAGCAGTCTCCTTGGCAGAGTCCGGTACATCTTCTGGAGTGAAGTCAGACCGGAGGGGAATTGTTATGTGGCCTTGTACTACCGCTGACTTGTCCTTCAATCTGGCAAACACAAGTCCTCCTGTATAACATTAATAAATAAAATCAAAACCAGACGATTTTACTTATTTCACGAATTTATTCTAAAATTGAAGTTGTGTCAACTCTTTTGAGAGCCAGCTAGCTTCCTTTTTCTTTGAACAGTATCTTTATGAACACAACGAATCTCTACTCGTGTGGCTACTAACCGAACTTCATGAGGATGTCGGTGATAAGGACGAACTTGCTAGGGTAGAACTGTGATGTGGTTGTGTCTATAAGCAGCTTACTCAGCTGGATAGCTAGTTTTAGCGCCTTCACTCGCTGCTCCGTGTCCCACGCTGCATACAGCGACTGTGTATTTTGTTAGATCAGACTTCGATCAAAGTTAAAGAAAATTGCGCTAAGTTTGTGAATACAATTTTTTGAACGCGTCTATTATTTTCAATTAAGACTCTTAGTTTATTTGTTAAACTTAAGGGCATATTTTACATTATGAACAAGTTACAAGATACATTTGAAAACACCGCTCTCCTTGAGTTAAATCAACATCTCACCTTGCCCATCTCTCGATTGTCTTGGTGTACTCAGCTTGAGTGAGGTTACTGAGGTTTGGACCATCCTCCATCTCATCCAGCTGCTCCAATCGGTCTCTAACTTTCTCCGGTAACATTGACGAAGCATTCGCTGAAATATGAAGTTATATACACAGTCATCTGTAATAGGCAATAGCCGATAGTTGAGATTATGTCCATTGTTCTGTAAACGACAAGTAAAGGACAAACCATATTTATCATTGAATAAGTATAAGATAGATTGCGATTGTTAAAACCTCAAGGTAGAGACCATGAGCGTACCTCGTTCATGTTTATTAGATCCAGCAGAAAGTGTGAGTTTCTGAGAGGTGGTGAATTTAGATAGGATCGCCCCTCTCCTTTGTATCCAATGGTCCTGGTATAAACAGAGAGTCATGGTTTGTTTCGACAATGAATAATTTTTATGTCTAGTGGGGAGGCGGATTATCGTCGTAAAGTACTGTACTGCAAATAAACCATGTAAACACACTGTTTTCAATCCACTAATCAATGAGCAAGCTCGACTCCCAATAATAATTTTAATTCGTGAATCTGTGTTTACTTTTTATCACCTCAGATCAACAAATCAAAAGAAACGAATCGACTTGAGACCAGCGCCATGGAATTGAATATTAGTTTAACTTACAGTTGGTGCAGGAGGGGACTTTCTGCGACTCTTGGTAACATTAACTTTAGGCTCATTAAACGCCAGCATAGGTTCAAGTTCATCACCTCCGGACAGAGGGTCATTGAGCGGGTCATCAAAGAGCGGATTTGAAGAGAGAGGATCTGATACGATGAAATCTGATCCACCCCTCTTTGTGGAAGGTTCCTCCGGTTTCTTTTCTTCGTCTACCACAGATTCCTGATAGAAATTGGATCGTAAAAGCTACTATTAGTCAGATCCTCAACAAGATTTGGTTGATCATCGAACGATATAACATATTTTCTACACTTCTAGAGTACCGACATTTCTAATCCTAAGAAGCACAGAATTCTAGGGAGGAAGAATAGGAGGAGGTGAAATAAAATTGGAAGGGTTTTAGTGAGCACAGAGGTAGGTTGAAGGTGAAGTAAAGAGCAATGACCCGAGGTGTGACGATACTGCTGTTAATATAAGTATAGTTTAATAGTTTAATAGAGGCGCGTATAATCGAGTGCTGACTGATCGTCTAATTTATGCCATTCATCTAAATGGAGCACAGGTTTAGTCAATCGTCAACTGGCTGATAAAATTTATAAAATTAATTAACGATAACTGTCCTGACCTGGTATTGGGTTACCCCTTGCAATGGGTGACTCTTCGTTTTAGACAGCCGAGCATGGCTGAGCTTTTCTTTAGCATACGATTTCACATTGACTGGCCATCGGACTTCTGTCATCCTAAAAATAAAGACAATTTAAGCAGAGCAGTGTTTGTAAGATGAAATATGCATTAGGAATCCCAATTTAGGATCTATAGTGAAATTAGCTCGTTTCTGGGAGACCCGACAAGAGGAAAATTCGGCCACAAATTTTAAAATTCCAGGAAAAATAATACAAATGATATCGACTTTTCATCATGGCATGATCAAATATAAAGAAGAGCTAAAACATAAACATGAGTTTTCCATCGTTCGAACAATACAGTATAACAATTAGCATAAACAAGATTCTTGGGTATTCGTGGAAAATGATGATCCACAAGCATTAGTTAAGTGTATTAAAAATTCACAGATCATGTGAACGGCCAATTTGATTTTATTTGAACATTGGATTCATTACAACAGTTGTACTACAACTTGCGGTATCGAAATCACGATTCTGGTTGAATATTGAAATAGAAATAAGTTAATTTGCATAAAAATTATCCCCTAACTGAAGCATAAGAAATTTGATAATATGGTATATTGATATCAGTATGATGCAGAAAACTCAGCATCAGTTCCACATTATATGTAAAAATAGCAACATGAAAATTAAGTAAACTTCTTAAAACAATCCAGTCTTAATAGGACTGGGAGATATTTTATTCAAAATGAACACAATATTTTACTAATATGTTTGAAAAACCTATCATTCGTGGAGACATTCATCAACGTAACTGGATCGTTCAACGTTTTTTTTGTTTTAAAATCAAATCCTAGGTTCAATGAAAATAAGTCCTTTCCTCTAATAAAAACCATTCCTAAAAAGGGCCAGGAACACGATGCAAACAATAAAGTGAAATCTTTGCGCTGCCACCACAAATATCCACCCTGGCCCGGCCAGGAACACAATGCAAACAATAATGTGAAATCTTTGCGCTGCCACCACAAATATCCCTGGCCCGGCTCTACAAATAACGTGCAGCTCATGTCACAATATTTTCAGTAACTTTAAGCTCACAGGGTCCATGCCAAGTTTACGACAATAGGTGTCCGGAGCTCGACACTGGTTCTCTAACTGCTATAACGCCACCGAATCAATGCGGGCCTGCTTCAAGTGTCTTTTCAGCTTGGTCGTTATCCCGTCCGAGTAGCCCCGTTTGTTCCCATTCTTCCCGGTTATAGCCACGGAGAGCTTGTTAAACGTTTCGTTGAAGTTTTCAGAGGAAACTTCAGTTGAGAGAACGTTAGCGAACACCTTTGACAGTTCGGATTTAAGGTCTTTGAGGTGTACGTCTAGGGTTGAGTGCTGGCGCTGAAAATATAGTCAGATCAAAATATGGTCCTATGATTAGTTCAAAACTTCTGAAAGTAAGGCACAAAATAATTTCAAGATTTTACATCATGAACCTCTGACTGCTTCTACCAAAATGCATGATTGTAATAAATAACAATTAACAAATTCCCAAGTTTCCCAAACCTGCATGATCGCCTTTGCGTTTCTCAACTCCTTCACAACGTCAGTTAGCTCTGTAATGTGAGATGATAGCACCGCATTCTGCTCCTCCAGTTCAACTGCTCCTTTTCGCAGACTTCGTAGTTCTGCTTCCAGTGCTGTGGATTGGAAAAGTCGTAAAAGTTGGTTTTAAGAGTTTCTTAAATTGTGTCCTTTTTCCACTTCATGCCAATTTCCGTCAATTGAAGTTTGAAGAACAATTTTGCCCATACTTGAGCACTTTTGAGTTTTGATAATGTCTACTTAGTTTAAACGTGATATTATGAAAGCATGAAACGACTTGTAAACCACTTATTGAACTCCAATTCACTTAATGAAATAAAAAACAACAATTATCGCTCTCGGCCTCGCCTCTTTTCAATAAATCGTGTTATCCCAAAAGACACTGACGGCAGTGCACATACCGCAGTTGTATAAGTATACATGAATCAGCTGCGTCAGGTTTCAAAATGAGTCAACGGCAAATGTACAACTTGAAACCTTTGGTAAAGACCTAACTCATACAATAAAAGTTAGCAGTTTACCCTTGTTGTAGACCAAGAACTCCTCCGTGAATATGGGTTTATTAAAAGTGAGCGAAGCTCTGCAGCGAGCGTTCTCCTCAATAAGCCGCTTCTTGTTTTCCTGATGTCCCTCTGATAGGTTGTGGTCGGCTCTGTGCTTCAGAGAATTCAGTTTCACATCACACAGGTCGCAGTGCAGCACAACCTGAATTTAAGAATGCACTTTGTAAGCTAGTGTACATCACATATTATTCGATCTACAAAGGTAGGAAAAAGAGATGACGTGAAAAGCAGTATTGGAAAATCACAATTTTATCCATCACATCGTTCCGCGCGCTACGCAAACGCAGTTTCAAAGCAGTGACCAAACATAATGAAGCCAACACTACAACACAACAAACCTTGTCTTCGTACTCTTCAATTACGTTCTCAATTCGTTGTGGAACTGAGCGTATTTCATCGTCCTTTTGTTTCTTTTTCTTCGCAGCTTGGTCCAACTTTGTAGTTTCTTCAACTTCCATATGTTTATTCTTCTTCTTAACAGATGATCGCCCAGAGTTTGCCTCTTCGACAATATCATTATGTTTCTTCTTGTTCACAGTTTGACCTGTCTTTTTAGCAGCTGGTGAAGAGCGCCCGGAATCAGTTTCTTCAAGTCCCTTCATCCTTAACTGTCTCTCGGCTTCATTTTTTCTGGCGTAATTTTCGACTCTCTTTACAGGACGTCTAGATTTACGGATCGACTCAGCAGAGCTCACATCTCTCTTCTTATTGACTGAGTTCTTGATTTTCAGGACAACTTCTTCAGAGGCTTCATTACTGTCAGTTTCAGACACAATGGAACTAGGACTGCGAGCCAGTTCGAGATCTTCTTTGCGCAGTCTCCATTTATTCTGTGGTGTGTTTTTAGGGATGTACGGATATGGCAGGGATTTGGGGTATATCGGAGGACGTTTTGTATTGGGTCGTAATATGATCATCTCGTTTTTTGCAGTAATGGCGAGTCTTGTTGATACATCATCGCAGTTGGGGAGGAGTTTATGAGCACTCTCTGGAGAATCTGAAAATATTCCGTAGTAAATAATCAGGGGCCAGGAACTGAGGTAAATATTCGCACTATTAGTCAGAACTAAAAACAGTTGCATTTTACTAAAGTATTTCCAACAATCACATGGTTACTAAATTCCGTCTTCCGAACTCAAATATTCCACTGACCGAGTTTATCAGCAGGCCCATCCTCGGGGGTGTCAACTGGCTGGTCAGTAAAATCAGCAAATACACACAGCTCCTCGTCCATAGGCCAGGGGGCATTAAAGTGTGGTTCATTAAGCACGTGTGCTTTACGTTCAGCCAAGTCGTCAAACTTCTCGTTGCAATATATGCAATCGTAGTGCTTGTTCGATTTTTCCAACTAAAATATTATCATAATCAGGCTAGATAATGTGAAATGATTTCGGATAGAAATAAAATTCAAAAGTCCTACCTTAATATTTGATTGTGTTAACCGAGCTAGATTAAATCTAGTAAGGTGTTTTTACCTTCTTTTGTTGTCCCTTAAGGGTTTTGTGATTATGCTGGTTGGCTTTCGCGATTGAACCATTAGTTATTCTGTATCTCGCACTGAAGTAGAGGGATATTTGGAATGTTATGAACTGACACTTTGAACAATGCAAGACAATGCAAGACAGTTAATATCAAAAAATGCAAAGATCAGGTCTTAGGAATTGGGGTCAACATACTATATGCCTATAGCAAGGGGGATAATGACTGCCAAAAATTAAAAGATGATCGTTGCATTCTCCGGTCTTACTTATTTTCATAGAAATGTTCAATTCTCAAACAACTTTGTTATTAGTTTCATCTTATCAGTGTATTGTAGAACAATACTAAAAGTCTGTTGCAGAATGATCCAGACAACTTAGATGAGTTTCTAAAAAGTATAAACTTGACTGACGTGCAACCAGATTCTTGAAATCTGCAACGAAAAACCACTGTCATATTTCTCTTTGTGTTCAAGGACATCCTGTGACCATCAACAATGAGGTAGTACCCCTGCCAGCCTTTCTTGGGGAAAAACTCGCACACTTCAAATCCCTCAGGAAAGTATGGCTGGGGGCCACTCCGATTTTTCTGAATGGTAGCATGAATAGCAGCTCGATCAGCAGTATCTGTTTTCAAATATTTCTCGAGATCCGATTCGAATCCTGGACGATCATTCTCTTCCATGATGTCTTGAATCTGCGTGGTTTAAATTGGTTAGGACACGAATTTTAAAAATGCACGAAGCCTGGAGAGCTGGAGGGGGTTGCACGAAGCGTTTCCCAAAATAACGATATTTTTAATTAAACAAATTATAACATGAAGATAGAAGAATCATTCTCCTTGGTAAAATTACCTGTTTCTCAGTCTCGGTGAATTGTTGCTCCTCTTCTTCCTCTTCTTCCTCATCTTCTTCTTCTTCTTCTTCCTGTTCCTTTTCAACCTCCTCATCAAGCAGCTCACATGCCTCGATTTGCTCCTCCTTTATAGTGATAACTTCAGGTTCAGGGGTCTCCGTCGCAATGTCTACTTCCATGGGGGATGAGGAGGTATCCATGTCTTCAACCTCTCGTTCGTCTGGATAATCCATCCTAGAGACAGGAACGGGTATATATGATACTGTACAATGTGGTGATATGCGGGACAAGGTGACGGTCCTCCTAATCAATCGTAGCCGACATATATTATATACGTACATACTATAAAATAAAGCAACATTTTTTGTCATGTTCAGCTCATACTATTATATAATATAATATATCCCTGTATTCATTTTACATAGATCTTTTAAAAACTTCGTGAAAGAAAATCAGTCGAAAAAAGCCACTTTATTTAGATATAAATAATTACAAATTCATGCAAATAAAAATGCCCTACAAGAAGATAAGAACTTCATAAAATCGATTTCAGCATAGCCCGTAGTCATGTTTAGAGAATGAACCACCCAAAATCTCGTACTACTACTCCGCAAACATCCAAGCACAGATCTTCAACAGAGAGGCTTGATATTAGTTATGAAGCTGTTCAACACGACACCACTGTTTTGTACAGGAACAGGTTTGGTTGAGACTATCTCCCACTCGCCTGTTCCGATGTTGAAGCGTTGCACCCGAATAACCCGCACCACATCCTCGCACATGAATAGGAGAACGTAGAGATGCCCCTCGTGTGCTACTACTGCGCTGTTCATTATGAAAAAATTCTGGGGTTCGTTAATAGATGGCTCACATTTGTTGATCTTGGTCCATAGTTGTTGGTCCGGTTGGAAATGGTACAGAATCTGAGGGATATAGAGGATCAGACATTTCCAATATGTGCTTATCATGACTAATTATGACTAATTATGACTTATCATGACTAATCAGTCGGTGCTTTGACCGGACAATGAACATTTTCTTAGATCTTAGTACTTTAGTAAGTATCATCATTCTACTCAGCCAAATAACGCCCTTTAAAGATCTAAACAACCAACAAACAAACTGAAAGTAAGTTCAGCACAACATTCTTACCACATCCTGGTAAATTCAGTAATAAATGACAAAACTTAAATCTAACCAGGTTCTTGTATTCAGTTGCGAGGAGGAAAATCTTCCTCTGAAGTGTGGCAGCTTGGCAGGAGTTCATAGTGGTGGGGGCATTCGGTTGTGGGGACCAAGAGTCGCTGTGCGGCATGTAACACATCACTGTGTCTGTTGCCTTGCCGTGCGGCCGCTGAAAATATGTGTCGTATTTTTCTCTTTGTAATTTGACACTGATGTATGTGTCATATTTCATGATTCATATATTTTAAAGTCACTATTGTGACGGTACATTAGAACTAGACAGAAACAATATCGAGGTTTCACTTTCCATATTTGGACAATGAAAATCGTGGGCCTATTGCCTAAAACTGATAATGGCTACAAAGTTGCAACCATGGCTCAAACCACTGGACCCATTTAACGTTAATCTCAACTGCCCAGACGTTTCTTTCTTCCCCAATATTGTACAGATGTTGGCCCAACGAACCTGTCCACAGAAAGTATAGAGCAAGCCATTACAAGCAGCAGCAGCACCCTGATAACCTATCTTGAAACATGGTGATACCGACTCCCACTTCCCAGAGGGGATGTTGTATTTGTCTACTTTGTACTGACTGTGTTGCACTGTGCTGTTTCGTCCTCCGACTATGTAAATATCCTCGCCTGAGTGGGGTCGGGTGTAACGTACCTGGAGCTATGTGCTACTCGTGAAGTAATGTTTGGAGCACTGTCAAATGTCAGTAATTGTGAGATAAACACTTGAATTTGATGTTTAAGCATGCGTGCTGAGCTAGTTAAACTGTGTCACATAGCTCAGTAAAAGAAGCACATAATTCAAAAAAACAAACATGGAAAACAAGAATTAACCTATTCTCACAGCGACAGCATCTTCTTTAGGTTGTGGTCCTTTAGCGAGTCTCTTGCTGGTATTGGTAGACATGTCAAACTCTTGGAACTCAGCCAAATATTGGCTATTAGCGTCCTTCCCACCAAAAACATAAGCTTTAGTCCCAGCAGTTGTAGCAGCGCACCCGTAACACAGCTGTGACAAACTCCCACACTCTTCCCACTCAGCGTCGTTGTTCTTCCCTTCAGGGAGGATGTCATGTGACAAGTTGTCCCGGACAACTGTCACCCCTGTCACCACGCTGAAGGGCTGGATGTTGTGGAATATAGTGTGCACGGTGGAGGTGGTGCTGTTGCAGCCTCCTAACAGAACTATCTTGGTTACCCACCGTGGTTTGGTGTCTTCAACCACCACCCGGCGCTTCTTCACCACCCTCTGGTCCTGGTCCAGTCTCCTATAGTAACCACCGGGGTGGTTACACGAGATAGTCCACAGTCGACTGGCTCGGTATGGTGGGGCTGCTGGTCCTGTAGCTGCCCCTGAAGCCCCAGCTGCTCCTTCAGACCAGATATCAGTGGAGGAGGGGGTTGGCACTGGAGTAATTACACCTGGTTGCAGAGATGTAGTCACATTCTCTGGTACCTCAGTTTTACTGGACCCTCTGTGTGGGTCTTGTGTCTGGTCTGAGTCAGCAGGAAGTGAGTGTATCATGATATGTGCTCTGCTGGCCAGGTCCTCCAGTGAGGAGGTCTCAGTATGATCTGTACTTGAGGAGCTACAGGTCGGTTCGTTGCTGGTGACCTCTCCTTTTGTCTCAATGTTGGATCGAGCAGCAGATAGAATTGATAAAGCTGTAGGTAACACCTGGGCGGACATCAGCCCCTCTGTTCGTTCATCTGAAACAGTGAAAGATGATCTTTTTGAGTTATTGGTGGCAAACGATTTTTTTCGTGAACAAAGATGGTGTAACAAACATTTTTTTTAATACACCTTCGCCTAATTCAGATGAAAAATTTTTATTTATTTGGGACGAGGAGAACTTCTCTAAAAAACGAACCTATCATGCCACAGAAGATCTCTCTAAGTTTGGTGGATGATCCGGGACGTATCTGTAGTAAGTTGTAAGTAACATTGTAAGGGTTAACCACCATCCTGTTTCTCCTGATCCAGGTCTGTATCTCCGCCCACGAGCCGTCTGTCAGACTCGTGTTCCTGGACTCTGTGTTGTATACCTTGACACAGAGATTATTAGTGTTGTATACTCTGTGTTGTATACCTTGACACATAGATTATTAGTGTTGTATACTCTGTGTTGTATACCTTGACACAGAGATTATTAGTGTTGTATACTCTGTGTTGACATACCTTGACACATAGATTATAAGTATTAAACTGAAATCATATTAATAGTAAAGGTAATTGGTAATCTATCATGGTAATGATAGATATAATATCTTATAAGGTATTATATAATTGCTGTCAATAATCAAAAGCTGCATGTTTATTTTGTTATAACTCACTAATGGTTCAGTGGCGATAAGATTGATAGCAGCTTCAGCCAGGGGATGAAGGAAGAAGTGCATGGCAAAGTTGAGCATATCAACACAGCTGTCAGGGTTGAGATGCACGTGTAACTTTGTTATACACACGTGGCGCGCTTCTTCTACCTGCAGAGAGAACAATGGCTTTTAACTTAGTGTTTATGTTGTGTATAAACATACAATTCTACATCTGGAAAGGAAAAGAAACTAACGTTAAGAATAAAACACCACGAAGTTGTTTAATGTTGAACATATTACATTCTTAATGTTAATAACATTGAATACATTAAAATTCAACAATAACACAAAAAAAAGTGTCAGTCGTCAGATCTAAAAAAAGCAGATCCGCCTTTAACACACACGGAGGTACTGTACCTGCAAGGTATCGGCAGCTACGAATATATCGAACATGTTGCTGGTGTTGATGTTCAGGACTCCTGAGTAGAGGAAGTCGAGCAGGACTGACAGAGCTGAGGGGTCCACACTTTGAAGTTCCACCTGAGAGACAGAGAGCTGGATAAAGGAGTCAACTAGAGGAGTTAAGAAGGAGGCAGAGAGCTGGATAAAGGAGTCAACTAGAGGAGTTAAGAAGGAGGCAGAGAGCTGGATAAATGAGTCAACTAGAGGAGTTAAGAAGGAGGCAGAGAGCTGGATAAAGGAGTCAACTAGAGGAGTTAAGAAGGAGGCAGAGAGCTGGATAAAGGAGTCAACTAGAGGAGTTAAGAAGGAGGCAGAGAGCTGGATAAAGGAGTCAACTAGAGGAGTTAAGAAGGAGGCAGAGAGCTGGATAAAGGAGTCAACTAGAGGAGTTAAGAAGGAGACAGAGAGCTGGATAAAGGAGTCAACTAGAGGAGTTAAGAAGGAGGCAGAGAGCTGGATAAAGGAGTCAACTAGAGGAGTTAAGAAGGAGGCAGAGAGCTGGATAAAGGAGTCAACTAGAGGAGTTAAGAAGGAGGCAGAGAGCTGGATAAAGGAGTCAACTAGAGGAGTTAAGAAGGAGGCAGAGAGCTGGATAAAGGAGTCAACTAGAGGAGTTAAGAAGGAGACAGAGAGCTGGATAAAGGAGTCAACTAGAGGAGTTAAGAAGGAGGCAGAGAGCTGGATAAAGGAGTCAACTAGAGGAGTTAAGAAGGAGGCAGAGAGCTGGATAAAGGAGTCAACTAGAGGAGTTAAGAAGGAGGCAGAGAGCTGGATAAAGGAGTCAACTAGAGGAGTTAAGAAAGGAGGCAGAGAGCTGGATAAAGGAGTCAACTAGAGGAGTTAAGAAAGGAGGCAGAGAGCTGGATAAAGGAGTCAACTAGAGGAGTTAAGAAGGAGGCAGAGAGCTGGATAAAGGAGTCAACTAGAGGAGTTAAGAAGGAGGCAGAGAGCTGGATAAAGGAGTCAACTAGAGGAGTTAAGAAGGAGGCAGAGAGCTGGATAAAGGAGTCAACTAGAGGAGTTAAGAAGGAGGCAGAGAGCTGGATAAAGGAGTCAACTAGAGGAGTTAAGAAGGAGACAGAGAGCTGGATAAAGGAGTCAACTAGAGGAGTTAAGAAGGAGGCAGAGAGCTGGATAAAGGAGTCAACTAGAGGAGTTAAGAAGGAGGCAGAGAGCTGGATAAAGGAGTCAACTAGAGGAGTTAAGAAAGGAGGCAGAGAGCTGGATAAAGGAGTCAACTAGAGGAGTTAAGAAAGGAGGCAGAGAGCTGGATAAAGGAGTCAACTAGAGGAGTTAAGAAAGGAGGCAGAGAGCTGGATAAAGGAGTCAACTAGAGGAGTTAAGAAGGAGGCAGAGAGCTGGATAAAGGAGTCAACTAGAGGAGTTAAGAAGGAGGCAGAGAGCTGGATAAAGGAGTCAACTAGAGGAGTTAAGAAGGAGGCAGAGAGCTGGATAAAGGAGTCAACTAGAGGAGTTAAGAAGGAGGCAGAGAGCTGGATAAAGGAGTCAACTAGAGGAGTTAAGAAGGAGACAGAGAGCTGGATAAAGGAGTCAACTAGAGGAGTTAAGAAGGAGGCAGAGAGCTGGATAAAGGAGTCAACTAGAGGAGTTAAGAAGGAGGCAGAGAGCTGGATAAAGGAGTCAACTAGAGGAGTTAAGAAGGAGGCAGAGAGCTGGATAAAGGAGTCAACTAGAGGAGTTAAGAAGGAGGCAGAGAGCTGGATAAAGGAGTCAACTAGAGGAGTTAAGAAGGAGGCAGAGAGCTGGATAAAGGAGTCAACTAGAGGAGTTAAGAAGGAGGCAGAGAGCTGGATAAAGGAGTCAACTAGAGGAGTTAAGAAGGAGGCAGAGAGCTGGATAAAGGAGTCAACTAGAGGAGTTAAGAAGGAGGCAGAGAGCTGGATAAAGGAGTCAACTAGAGGAGTTAAGAAGGAGGCAGAGAGCTGGATAAAGGAGTCAACTAGAGGAGTTAAGAAGGAGGCAGAGAGCTGGATAAAGGAGTCAACTAGAGGAGTTAAGAAGGAGGCAGAGAGCTGGATAAAGGAGTCAACTAGAGGAGTTAAGAAGGAGGCAGAGAGCTGGATAAAGGAGTCAACTAGAGGAGTTAAGAAGGAGGCAGAGAGCTGGATAAAGGAGTCAACTAGAGGAGTTAAGAAGGAGGCAGAGAGCTGGATAAAGGAGTCAACTAGAGGAGTTAAGAAAGGAGGCAGAGAGCTGGATAAAGGAGTCAACTAGAGGAGTTAAGAAGGAGGCAGAGAGCTGGATAAAGGAGTCAACTAGAGGAGTTAAGAAGGAGGCAGAGAGCTGGATAAAGGAGTCAACTAGAGGAGTTAAGAAAGGAGGCAGAGAGCTGGATAAAGGAGTCAACTAGAGGAGTTAAGAAAGGAGGCAGAGAGCTGGATAAAGGAGTCAACTAGAGGAGTTAAGAAGGAGGCAGAGAGCTGGATAAAGGAGTCAACTAGAGGAGTTAAGAAGGAGGCAGAGAGCTGGATAAAGGAGTCAACTAGAGGAGTTAAGAAGGAGGCAGAGAGCTGGATAAAGGAGTCAACTAGAGGAGTTAAGAAGGAGGCAGAGAGCTGGATAAAGGAGTCAACTAGAGGAGTTAAGAAAGGAGGCAGAGAGCTGGATAAAGGAGTCAACTAGAGGAGTTAAGAAGGAGACAGAGAGCTGGATAAAGGAGTCAACTAGAGGAGTTAAGAAGGAGGCAGAGAGCTGGATAAAGGAGTCAACTAGAGGAGTTAAGAAGGAGACAGAGAGCTGGATAAAGGAGTCAACTAGAGGAGTTAAGAAGGAGGCAGAGAGCTGGATAAAGGAGTCAACTAGAGGAGTTAAGAAGGAGGCAGAGAGCTGGATAAAGGAGTCAACTAGAGGAGTTAAGAAGGAGGCAGAGAGCTGGATAAAGGAGTCAACTAGAGGAGTTAAGAAGGAGGCAGAGAGCTGGATAAAGGAGTCAACTAGAGGAGTTAAGAAGGAGACAGAGAGCTGGATAAAGGAGTCAACTAGAGGAGTTAAGAAGGAGGCAGAGAGCTGGATAAAGGAGTCAACTAGAGGAGTTAAGAAGGAGGCAGAGAGCTGGATAAAGGAGTCAACTAGAGGAGTTAAGAAGGAGGCAGAGAGCTGGATAAAGGAGTCAACTAGAGGAGTTAAGAAGGAGGCAGAGAGCTGGATAAAGGAGTCAACTAGAGGAGTTAAGAAGGAGGCAGAGAGCTGGATAAAGGAGTCAACTAGAGGAGTTAAGAAGGAGGCAGAGAGCTGGATAAAGGAGTCAACTAGAGGAGTTAAGAAGGAGGCAGAGAGCTGGATAAAGGAGTCAACTAGAGGAGTTAAGAAGGAGGCAGAGAGCTGGATAAAGGAGTCAACTAGAGGAGTTAAGAAGGAGGCAGAGAGCTGGATAAAGGAGTCAACTAGAGGAGTTAAGAAGGAGGCAGAGAGCTGGATAAAGGAGTCAACTAGAGGAGTTAAGAAGGAGGCAGAGAGCTGGATAAAGGAGTCAACTAGAGGAGTTAAGAAGGAGGCAGAGAGCTGGATAAAGGAGTCAACTAGAGGAGTTAAGAAGGAGGCAGAGAGCTGGATAAAGGAGTCAACTAGAGGAGTTAAGAAGGAGACAGAGAGCTGGATAAAGGAGTCAACTAGAGGAGTTAAGAAGGAGGCAGAGAGCTGGATAAAGGAGTCAACTAGAGGAGTTAAGAAGGAGGCAGAGAGCTGGATAAAGGAGTCAACTAGAGGAGTTAAGAAGGAGGCAGAGAGCTGGATAAAGGAGTCAACTAGAGGAGTTAAGAAGGAGGCAGAGAGCTGGATAAAGGAGTCAACTAGAGGAGTTAAGAAAGGAGGCAGAGAGCTGGATAAAGGAGTCAACTAGAGGAGTTAAGAAGGAGACAGAGAGCTGGATAAAGGAGTCAACTAGAGGAGTTAAGAAGGAGGCAGAGAGCTGGATAAAGGAGTCAACTAGAGGAGTTAAGAAGGAGGCAGAGAGCTGGATAAAGGAGTCAACTAGAGGAGTTAAGAAGGAGGCAGAGAGCTGGATAAAGGAGTCAACTAGAGGAGTTAAGAAGGAGGCAGAGAGCTGGATAAAGGAGTCAACTAGAGGAGTTAAGAAGGAGGCAGAGAGCTGGATAAAGGAGTCAACTAGAGGAGTTAAGAAGGAGACAGAGAGCTGGATAAAGGAGTCAACTAGAGGAGTTAAGAAGGAGACAGAGAGCTGGATAAAGGAGTCAACTAGAGGAGTTAAGAAGGAGGCAGAGAGCTGGATAAAGGAGTCAACTAGAGGAGTTAAGAAGGAGACAGAGAGCTGGATAAAGGAGTCAACTAGAGGAGTTAAGAAGGAGGCAGAGAGCTGGATAAAGGAGTCAACTAGAGGAGTTAAGAAGGAGACAGAGAGCTGGATAAAGGAGTCAACTAGAGGAGTTAAGAAGGAGGCAGAGAGCTGGATAAAGGAGTCAACTAGAGGAGTTAAGAAGGAGGCAGAGAGCTGGATAAAGGAGTCAACTAGAGGAGTTAAGAAGGAGGCAGAGAGCTGGATAAAGGAGTCAACTAGAGGAGTTAAGAAGGAGGCAGAGAGCTGGATAAAGGAGTCAACTAGAGGAGTTAAGAAGGAGGCAGAGAGCTGGATAAAGGAGTCAACTAGAGGAGTTAAGAAGGAGGCAGAGAGCTGGATAAAGGAGTCAACTAGAGGAGTTAAGAAGGAGGCAGAGAGCTGGATAAAGGAGTCAACTAGAGGAGTTAAGAAGGAGGCAGAGAGCTGGATAAAGGAGTCAACTAGAGGAGTTAAGAAGGAGGCAGAGAGCTGGATAAAGGAGTCAACTAGAGGAGTTAAGAAGGAGGCAGAGAGCTGGATAAAGGAGTCAACTAGAGGAGTTAAGAAGGAGGCAGAGAGCTGGATAAAGGAGTCAACTAGAGGAGTTAAGAAGGAGGCAGAGAGCTGGATAAAGGAGTCAACTAGAGGAGTTAAGACGGAGGCAGAGAGCTGGATAAAGGAGTCAACTAGAGGAGTTAAGAAAGGAGGCAGAGAGCTGGATAAAGGAGTCAACTAGAGGAGTTAAGAAGGAGACAGAGAGCTGGATAAAGGAGTCAACTAGAGGAGTTAAGAAGGAGGCAGAGAGCTGGATAAAGGAGTCAACTAGAGGAGTTAAGAAGGAGGCAGAGAGCTGGATAAAGGAGTCAACTAGAGGAGTTAAGAAGGAGGCAGAGAGCTGGATAAAGGAGTCAACTAGAGGAGTTAAGAAGGAGGCAGAGAGCTGGATAAAGGAGTCAACTAGAGGAGTTAAGAAAGGAGGCAGAGAGCTGGATAAAGGAGTCAACTAGAGGAGTTAAGAAGGAGACAGAGAGCTGGATAAAGGAGTCAACTAGAGGAGTTAAGAAGGAGGCAGAGAGCTGGATAAAGGAGTCAACTAGAGGAGTTAAGAAGGAGGCAGAGAGCTGGATAAAGGAGTCAACTAGAGGAGTTAAGAAGGAGGCAGAGAGCTGGATAAAGGAGTCAACTAGAGGAGTTAAGAAGGAGGCAGAGAGCTGGATAAAGGAGTCAACTAGAGGAGTTAAGAAGGAGGCAGAGAGCTGGATAAAGGAGTCAACTAGAGGAGTTAAGAAGGAGACAGAGAGCTGGATAAAGGAGTCAACTAGAGGAGTTAAGAAGGAGACAGAGAGCTGGATAAAGGAGTCAACTAGAGGAGTTAAGAAGGAGGCAGAGAGCTGGATAAAGGAGTCAACTAGAGGAGTTAAGAAGGAGACAGAGAGCTGGATAAAGGAGTCAACTAGAGGAGTTAAGAAGGAGGCAGAGAGCTGGATAAAGGAGTCAACTAGAGGAGTTAAGAAAGGAGACAGAGAGCTGGATAAAGGAGTCAACTAGAGGAGTTAAGAAGGAGGCAGAGAGCTGGATAAAGGAGTCAACTAGAGGAGTTAAGAAAGGAGGCAGAGAGCTGGATAAAGGAGTCAACTAGAGGAGTTAAGAAGGAGGCAGAGAGCTGGATAAAGGAGTCAACTAGAGGAGTTAAGACGGAGGTAGAGGGTTACAGATTAAACGTCAGCTTGTATTAAGAATATTTGTGAATGGGTGCTTGGTGTTACTGAATGGGTGCTTGGTGTTACTGAATGGGTGCTTGGTGTTACTGAATGGGTGCTTGGTGTTACTGAATGATGTGAGCTACCTTTTTCTCATCAGCGTTGGGGAACCATCTGTCAAAGTAAGCTGAGAAGTAGGCACTGCCTCCGCTCAGTACTGATCTGTGCACGTAGAACTGAAGGGTAATAGTTTACAGGTCATCGTCAATTAAATCAGATTTTAAGGCCTCATCATCACCATTATTTGCACCTTCAAAGTTGAATCTGATGTTTTGAGAATAAGGAAGTTATAAATGTCTAAAATTCAGCTACAGAAGTATTATTTCAGGCTATTATAATGACAGCACAACTGACCGATTGGTCTTTGCAGATGAGTTCTGTGTCACAAAGATAGCAGTTAGCGCGCATCTCATTGAGTTTGCGTAAGATGCGCTGCGCATGACTCGGAACCTCCACCCCTATTTCTTTCTTAATGGAGCTCACGCTGCTCTTTATCATGGGAGACAGTGGATCGTCTTCATTCATCGCTAAATTGTAGTGCTAGTTATATTGTAGAAGTGCTGCAGAAAATAATAACCAACATACAGACACTGATCGTTGTCTTGGTACAATAAAACATTATGATAACAGATGGAATTTACTATAAAGTCTGGAGTCTAGACCCACTGTGTTTAGCGAGTTGCAAACATAAAATAATTGAATTGTTAGAATGCAGGCCTGCTGGTCCAACTTTCAGAGTAAAACCGGACTTTATAAAATAATTCATAGAATTTGCAATTATATAAGTGCATACATAATTTTGGATTGTAATATGTAAAATATTTAAAAAATCTGAAACCGAACAAATTAAATAACTAACGTGTTTCAGAATTAGCTACGATTCGTAATCTGTATCGAACGCTCCAATAATAAACAATGTTATAAAGTAAAAAATACAGTACGGTTTGCATTATAGGTCCAATATTTTATCGATATAAATATAATTGATAAATGTTTAGGAATTATCGAAATATTATCGGTCTATAATTAGGTTATCAAATTTGAGCTCATAATATTACAGTAGTGAGTACAAATCGGCACTCGTAAGTCATTTATACATAATACATATTATATACTTATAGAGCCATTTCAAGAATCAAAGAAAAGCAACATTGAACAGCCGAAAAGTGTACGTAACCTTAAGAGATTCATCAACTGTGATAAGTTTTTAATTCCGTTCTTTTTATTTTGGAATTTGTTTTGTGCCCACGCCCTGAGAAATACCATACTTTTGTTTTGGTTATCTTGTAATTACGGGAATGCTATTCTTGTCTCCTGATAATAGTTCTGTTTAAATTTAGATTGCAAGACTAGATAAATGATAACCATAACAATACCAAGGCATGACATAAGTCATAAATATGTCTCCATAATAATATAATGAGCTCTACTCTGTATTTAGAATGATGCAGGTACGGCTTGTAAGTTATATTAGTATGCAGTAATAATAACACTGGAACTACTATCGTTATTTATTGAGGATTAAATCTTAAATTTCTGAGTTTAAGTCGGAGGAATTTAAAAAATAATTTTCATCGAATTATCGAGATAATCTGATAACGATTATGACCCAAGTATCGCCGATAATCTTATCGAGATACTATCTCGTTGCATACCCTGATAGACCGCAACTCATGTAACGTGTAAACGAACTTCAGGTAAACAAAACTACAAAAACAAAATGTAACGTAAAATAATGAACATGTGAAACAACAAAATGAGCGAGTTAAAAAGCTCCTCACAGTTACATCAATTTGAATTATGTCTGACATTTCAACCGAGCTTGTTTAAAAAACATATGCTAACAATAATTAGTAACAATTATGCAGGTTTAAAGTAGGTGATGATTCATACGAAGGTAGTTACGTCAGGTCATAACATCGTTTCAAATATACGTCGAAACGGATCAGTTGCAATAAATTGAAGAATAAATTAAAGTTTTCACGTTCAAGACCGAGAAGTTAAAAAGTGAGCATCAGAAATTGCATTGTATAAAAAAACCGCTCCGAACTATTTTAAGCCTAAATAACTTAACGTTGCCTATTGAGTTATATTGAGAGTGAAGCATTGTAAGCAGTCATTTAACAGCTGGAGCAAACTATAAACAAATACAAATATGCAACGAAATTAATAGAAGAAAACATAATCATTCAAGGCTAAGGGACCAAGAGTCGAGGGCATACCAATCTTATTTTCAGTTAAGTATCATCCTAGTGATTTGTTAACTTACTGATTATCAATATCATGGAACTTTAAATTACTGCTGAAATTGTAAGAAAGGTTTCACTCAATAATATGGAAATATGTCTTTTGAAATATCAAATCTACCACAGTTCTATTCAGTCACACCTTGACTATTCTTCCTTGATCTGGGGCTTCATGTCTAGGATTAAATTTAGTGCTTATTCCGTAAACAAAAGAAAGGAATGAGAGCCGTAATGCCAGGATTTCTAAGTCTCGAAACTTCATTTTTAAAATTTGCCGTGCAACTATCAAAATTAATATACCATCGATTATATTACATTTGTTATGATTTATCACATTTGACTTCATTTGACTTCATCCTTTTATTTTTGATATAATTTTTTCTAGAAGTTAGGTTTTTCAGGATTGTCCTTACGAGGGGCTTTCAATCAATCATTACCATGATTACCATGTTAATCCTTTAAATATTCTACCTATTTAAATTAGTTCATATAATATTTAAAAACTTACTTACTTTCCAACAAATACTTTCCAACAAATACTTTTTTTGTGACTTTAGAAACCCCAAAACTTGACTATGCTGTCTTCTGAGACATTGCACAGTCTGGCAAAGTTAACACAGCCATCGAGATGGGGGCTGGGAGAGAGAGCCAACTGTGAGAGGAGGGATCCTCGACTGAAAATGTGAGAGTAGAAAGGATGAGATTCAACAGTGGAATGATGATATTATAATACATCGGACAAATATTTCCTGTGTACGGAAGTATGTGCCGTGTTGACCCCGACACAATTTAAAATAGACCAATTTGAGCTGCATACAGTTGAACACAAATGTCAAGTTGCTTTACTTGGATAAAAGTGATAAAATAATGTGAGACTCGTGAGTCATAATACTACATGTGAGTCATTTCAAATAGTCATGTTTAAATATGAAACATTAATAAGTTAAACAATCAATCCGAAACAACATCTAACAATTATTATCATAATCAAGCAGATTTATTTGATAAATAAAAAATCGGAGATAATGGTTCTATACTCTATACCTAGTAAATAATAAATAATTATGAAACCAGTAATTGGTCATTAGTGAGGGGAACAAATTAATATATTTGTAATTGATTGCTAAAAAAGACCCTGTAAACAACAAGAGAATAAATAAAAGAAAGAAACCGTTTTTAACCCGTCAAAGATAATAATTTTCTAATTTATTTTATTTAGATCTAAAATCCCAAAACTTAATCAAATAGTCATCAGAAACAGTGCAAAGTAAAAACGGTGTATTTGGAGCGAAAGCAGCATAGTTCAAACCCTCCGTGTGACCTGTTTTCTTTTTAATATGAACATTATAGTGAAGATCATAATAGTGAAGCAGTCCTGGGTGCAAATCACCTGATATCATCAAACTGTTAAAATGTTCATCCAACCAATAATCGTGGTCGAATAAATAAAGCTGGGGTGGAACCATTGACTGTAGAGGCACAACCCTCATCAAATTCATTTTGAGGTCGAAAATTCTTAGGTCTAACTTTTCTTTAGAATATTTGATCTTGCCACCCTCACAATTTTCCCTGATCGGTCTACAAACGACTGCAAAATTGTCCGTCAAACTATCATCGACCTGACGAATTGCTGCTCCAAAGTGTTTGTCCATCACAGGATGACGATCACATGAATAATGATTTGGATTAGGTGAATAATACTTTGATTCTACACAGCAGAATCGCTTTGGGTTACATACATGCTCTTTCAAGGGTAGGTCCGAATTCACAACATAAAACGACATTTTGTGACGATTTTCTGTATAGTCCACAAAGTCATCATCATCATCCTCATCAAGTCGCTCATCTTCATCATAGCAAAATGAAAGAAGTTTTTGCAATCCATTTCTACTGTTCATCACAGCCACATCTTCAATGTCATAGTCTACATTCACAATTTCTTTCGGTTTATGCTGCTTGAACACGGACCATACCATTAATTTGCCTGCATATCCTGATTCATTTAACTCGGTGATTATAAAAGTAGATCTACCCAACCAACCAGGACTAGCATCACAATTATTATCCCACCAATCCACGGTCTTTGCGAGAAAACAGTCAGGAAAAGTGTAAATGAGAACTTGAAACATTTTGTCAGAGTACTCCTCTCCGTCAAGCTGCAATTGTAATCCAAAAATCATTAAATATTCGTCAGTTTCACTAAAAAGAGTGTAACGTATCCCAGATTCTGTGTCCCTCTGTATCCCTTGATCTGCCTTCTCGTTACATGAAATATACAACTTGTTGAAAACTTCAATGGTATCACCGACTGACCACATGACGATGAATCGTTTTGAAGACGTACACAAATATTTCCCAGATCGGGAGAAGGTCAGATCGTAAACACTTTCACCGTGGTGAACGTTGCAAGTCACCGTTGCAGAGCCGTTTTGCAGGATATGCAGGCGTTTGTATTCTGAAAGCCACGAGGATTCCTGGACGTCTGGTCGGAGAGGGGTTGTGGGAGCTACATTCCAGTGAAGAGAAAATAGCTGCTTCCACACGTAGTCATCTGAAATATAGATAGCAAATTAGCTCTCTTCAGAGTAGTGGGGCAGTAATTGGTAAAAATGAGTCAAGAGAAGATAACCATGGCCCATGATGAATAATAAAGCAGAGTAAATCAAGAAAAGATTGCGGAAATAATAAGAAAACAAAAGGATCACCTATGTTGCGAAATCTAAAATAGGTTACCTTGTAATATTTCCTGCCAGTAGTTACATACTAACGAGCATTGTGCTAGATCCCCGGCAGCCAATTTTCCAAAAATAACTATCATAACATTGATAGGCAGAGAGTTCCAGTGAACCACGTGACCATTCGCTGAATTAACGTCTCCTTCTAAAGCAATATACAATTAGAATCATTCAAACCGCCAGTTAGTAAAAAATAAATCCTGACACCTAAATAAAGAGTATTCATAACTTCAAACCTGGAAATCAAATTCGATCTAGAAGCAAACCTGTCAGTTGATATTGGGAGTCGTTGCAAGTTCTACTCTTTTTTAATTGGTGGTGTTCCGAGGAATTGGATTTAGTGTCTTTCCTTTTTAGGCCACGTTCCATGATCTCTGAATGTCCTGTTACTTTATTGTAGTGAAAATATAATGTAAATTGTAAATGCTTCTAGTACGAGTTTTAAGTGGAACATTTCTCAATTCACGATTCACATGTTACTGTAATGATGATAAAATTGGACGCTTGCCCAATTTTAAGGTTATAATGCTTTAAAATAACACACCGCCTAAATGTTTAAACGATGTAATACGTTCGATGGAATATCTTGTAGCAAAACATGCATGCAGCAGAAAATTAGATCGTCATTATAATAAGCAGTAAAGCAGTGGTGAGATTCATCGGTCTTCTTTCATATGACCATAAAATCTAAAGTTAATAAAAAGCATTACATTAAAATTACGAGAATTAATACTCGCTTTAAAAAGTACTAAAATACCATATGGAGACAGACATGTACTACAATAATCGGGACAAAATATTTTGGAAACAAATTTTGTACAAACTTATCGAAAATTCAAAATTGAGTCTTCAAATTGAACATTATTCACAGAAAATGATTAAAAGATTAAAAAAATGAATCTTAATAAGAAAGAATAGCTCAATAGCATGTTGATTGTTGCTACAGAGCTACAGAGCAACGTTGAGCTGTAATTATAATAGGTAAATAGTTTCAAATTCAAATCAATGTAAATCTCTAGAAATGAGGAAGGCAGGTGTGATCTTTGCCTTCCTGCCAAGTCCCCAACGCCACTCTATATTCTCATCTGGGAAACCCAGAGGAGTCTCACCTTTGTCCATAAAGTATATAGCTCCCCATTTCCATATTGAGGCGTTTACATTAGGATTAGGTTTGCCATACCAGGAGACGGGAAAAAGACGTTTCCTGCCTGAGAATGTCATTTCTAGAACGAAATGCATGTTTTTACTGCAAATGATGTCCTCGTGAAAATGAATGTGATCTGGGTATGCTTCAGGATCTTGGAGCAGTTCAATGTTAAAAGAGCAGCTGTTCTCTTCTGTCGATGCTTTTATATGTACTATAAAACCGCATTCACCTCTCTCAGCACACGGACCTTCAATAGGATTTAGATCACTTTGGCTGATATGAAATTCAATATCATTTTCTTTCAACAGTAATTCCTTCCAGTCATAATCACGCAAGGAAGGGACGTATGCATAGCCTTTGGATGATACAGCCTGACATCTGTTGAGAACACCCTCAAATGACTGAAAAACTGGTAATCTCTCTCCATCGACAACCAACATTTCAACAAGATGAGAAGAGATATTTTTCCACTCCTTTTTTTCCTTTATAGCAAAAATGCGGTCATCAAAATTGGCAGGCAATTTTGTTTCAGAATTGGCTTGATTAAATAACCAACAAAATATTCCTTCGAAAAACATGTTGAAGCTTTTCACATCTTGTGAAGAACTTAAAAAGTGAGTCACCTCTTCAAAGGTGGAAAACTCGTTGATCGTTTTGAATGAGTTGAACAGATTAGGGATACTAGAGTACTTTTCTATCACCGTATTACAAGATTTGTATAATAACAAAACCAATTTATAATCCTCTGCAGATGGGAATTCTAATAGAGATAGGTGTTCAATAAACTTCTCTTTGAGGTCAGGATTTTTCCTGAAACATCGAGATAAATTAACGTTTCGGAGGAAATATTTAGCGTCCTTGCCTAGAGAGGATCTATCGGCCCTAATCTGGTCAATTACAAACGAAACGAGCATCTCAGGCTGTCTTTGAACTACTTTTAATATGGCATTTAGCTGTCTATCGTCAAGCTGTCCCGAATTCTCCTGAAGGTATTGCTCCACAAAACACTTGCGGTAGGAAGCGGAAGAGGATAACTTCGATGTAATTAAATCCAGAGAGGCTTCCTTTTTAAATCTTCTCTCCAAATAACATGCCTCCTCAAACAGGAATGCCAGATCTTGAAAAGTAAACACACCTGGTATATTTTCAGCGAGATACTGGAAGTAACTTGCACACCTTTTCTCCATCCACTCCACTCTGAAAACGTGTGCCATTTTGCTGACATCTCTGAATATACCCTTATTTATCTTCTTCAGTTGTCCTGAGTAACAACCCTCAAGGAAGCACTGAACTGCATCATTTTGAAAATCATCAACATCAATGGTCTCAAAAGAGAGGCAAGAGATTAATTCCTCTAAAACCGGGCTGTTTAGTGACACGATCACAGAGTTTGCATGAATCTCCAGGTCATCTTTTAACTTAAATACTATGTTACTGTGGCTAGGATCTCCAAGACGCTCTATTCCAAAGTCTGCTGGTACTGAAACCTTCGGAGCTTCTATCTCTTCGAATGCCATCACTACAAATAATAACGAGATTTAGAACTAGATAGAAGCATTGGGGAGATAGGTATTAACCGAAATTGATTCGACATAAGATACGGTCTACTAAGCTATTCAAAGTTATTTATGTAATGTAGACAGAACAGTAAATTATAAAATCATGAAGAGCCCCACATCCAGAAACACGCCATCTTGCCAGGCAGCCTGGGAGGAAATTTTTTTTGGGAGGAAAAACGGGAGAAGAAGAGGAAATTTTTGAGAAGTAACTCCTAAATTTCGAAATATTTTTTTGGAATGAAGACAAATTAATTGAGGAAATTTTTGAAGAAAATGTTTCGATTGTATAAAAATCAAAGAGGAACATCCTGTCAGTTTTGGAACACAGTGAAATATTCTGATTGGAGAATGCAGATTGCTGTTGTGAAGTTATCAACTTTACGTGAGTACTTGATTCTTTTCAATCCCAGTTTATCGCTGTCCTACAAATTTCTTTAATGCCAAATGCCGTCTAAAACACCCTATTTCGCAAAAAATTTCCGGGGGGCTGCGCCCCCTAGCCCCCACGCCGCCAAGGGGCTTCGCCCCTGGACCCTGCTGGGGGCTGCGCCCCCAGACCCCTGCCACAGCTTGCTCGCTTCGCTCGCTGCGCAGTTGGATTGGACACGTCGACTTGCTTCGCTCGCCGACAGCCCCTTCCCCAAACTTGCGATCGAAGCAAGCGGGCCACAGAATTTAGAAAAAAACGCATCTGGGAGGAAATATAAAACTTTCTGGATGTGGGTGAAGAGCTTGTCATGAACGGACCAGATGCATGAAATTTAACTTAATCTCAAGTTAAGTCCGTTTTATAAAATCTATTTTTCTAAGATAAAAACTCAATAAAGTATGGATGACTGGTTATTATTACTATATAGTATTATATATACAGTACAAATAAAAAATGTTACGTTAATTTGATACATGAAAGTTTATACATAACAAACAAATAGTAAACAAAGAAGTTAAATCAAATATAGCGACCTCATATTAACTGAGAGTATAATACTCAAAACAATGGTTAATGCAAATGGTTATATATATAATGCCTATATCTTATACCGGGGGGGGGGGGGGGGGGGGGGGGGGCCCTTGAGATTTCCCGCATGAATGGCGAAACAGAGTAGAAAGTCATAATAGCTAAGCCACTTTCGCCGTAATTTTGTGGCAAAAATTGTGAAAAATAGTGGAGCCAGGTGCGCTATTTCTTCAAAAATTCTCTAATAAACGAAAATAGTGATTAATTATATCAAAACTGAGGTGCCCATTGTACTCCATAACATATTCGTGATAAAAATTCTAAATTAGTCAACAGTAAATATCCGCGATGCAATGTCCTCAATCAACCAGTCCATGCCTTTCAACAAATTCTCACCAGTCACAGCACTACAACCCAGAATAATCCAGTGATGAGTTTTGATGTTATCCAGTTCGAGTACCTCTCTGATCTCTTTTGGGTCCAAAGCTCCAGGAAGATCCTGCTTGTTGGCGAAGACCAGTAAAGTGGCACCAGATAACCTCTCCTCGAGGAGAAGACCAGAGAGTTCTTTACTGCAGGCTTCTAACCTGGAACAGAGTGCTTGGTTAATGATAATTAATTAATTAATGAGTGCTTTGAAGGTATTAGCGAGTGAATTTAGAAAGAAAAGAAAATACGACTTAGTGAATAACCGGAAATTGCCAGTTTAAGTGAGTTTAAAAAGGGATACTCAGGACAATAAAACTGGTACCTTCTTTTGTCAGCACTATCCACAACCCAAATCAAACCATCAGTTGTTTCAAAATAATTCTTCCAGTAAGATCTCAGACTCTTCTGACCACCAACATCCCAAATATTCAACTTAAATCCCCCGTGCTCCAGAGTTTTTATATTGAAGCCTAGTGTGGGCGATATGGTGGATATGTCTTCTCCGTTAAATTTCTTGAGGATAGTGGTTTTCCCGGCATTGTCCAGTCCTAACATGAGTAGACGCATTTCTTTTTCTTTTTCCTTCATTTTCTTAAGAATTGTGAGAAGTCCCATTGTAACTGAACTGGTGAATAAGTTTAAGAGAAAATTTTATATAACTGTACTTTAAAATGAAAATCATTTATAAAATTCGAGATACGCATGATCAAGTTTATTGAAATAGTTACACTTCAAAATTACAAAATGATGATCAAATTTCAGTGATACAGCATTGGCTCATTAAACAAGAATCGATGATAAATACAAAATATCAACCAAATACATATAAATTTAATATAAAACAAAGTTCATATGAGGTCACTTCAGGTCACGCCATTAGAAAAAAGTGAGTATAATCTACTAAAATCTCTGCTTGTTTTTGTCTCTTCAATACAAAGTTGTGCACAGTGCAAACAGTTTTTCTTACCGCAAACGAACTTGTACATCTCTGTCATTTTTCGTCTGTTTCAAAATCCCCATATAAATTACTACCACATATATAATCTTGGTCTGTTTTAAAGCAACAAGAAATGTGACGTTTCAAATACATGAAATGATGATAACCATGGTCTCGGATAACTAATGACCACCAAATTGCCCGATTAATAAAACTCTCATTTTATTTTATCGTGTTCTGCCAACAGTTTCTCAATGTCACTGTCCGAGTTGTCAACTTGCACTGAAGTGATGTGTCGACCTGGTATCATAACGAGACCCAACATCCTCGCTTCCCCCGCTGAAAAGAAGGAGGTTAGTTTCTTACAAAACATTTATTAAACTATGTAACTAGACTCTAGATCTATGATTTAGATTTTGAATTATTAAATGGTTTAAATAAAGTTAATTACGTAATGTCATACATACAGTACAGAGTTATCCTTTACTTTTACTGTACACAACTCATGACCAAAGAGAAATGTTTCTAACAATGTGTCTCACTCACCAGTCTCATCGTGCCAGTACTCCGCCGCCCCACCCATTATCAAGTTCTGATCTCTGTCAGTACAGAGAAGTGAGCCTATCAGTACTCTACCATCGCTGATTTGGATTCTCAGCATTTTGTTTACAAGTCCTTTGATAAACCTCCCCTCACCTTCCATGCCTACCAGAAACTTCTGAACATATTTTGATATTGACAAATATTCGGGTTATCGAAACAATTCAAAAATTAAAGATTGACAATTCGAAAACATGAATTATTATATGAGGTAATAGTTGCTGATTGTCTTATAATGTGGATTTCAAGAGAAGTTTTATTTTGTTAGCGTAGGGAAAAAATTGAGGTCGATGGACGAAAGAAACATCATAAGGTAATTTATAGCTGTTTTAAAGAGTGGATATTTAAAAATACATGGTAATAAATTATCTGAAAATATCTACTTCATTATTTTAAAAATAATGCGGCAATAACAACAACAATCATTTCATAAAAGTTTAAAAACCTTAGTCGATTAGAAATTAGTAACTACCAACACCTAGTGCAAGTTATGATTAATTGCAGAAAATTTAAAACAGAACTCGGCACAATATCAACACTACAAAAAGCATTCCGAAACACGATTCAAAAAAATCGAAACATGAACAACTTGAGTAAATTAAAATCACTGTTATTTTGACAATACATTTAAAATGTTCTCCCTTTTCTGAGATTGAATATTATTATATAGAAGTGAAATTGTAAATTCAATAAAAAATTCAATTTATCGGCCGTACATTACGTAGGCTTGTAAACGTTACTTCTAAAGCTAACATCATTATAATTTATACTATTTAAACCCCTTTATATAAGTATATCACAATAGTTTATCTGATAAACAGATATTATAGCTAACACTTTAAAAGTTACTAATAGATTACATCTGATGATAAGTAACCTCTTAATCCATGCTACTTTCTTTACCCTCATATAAAACTAATAAAGTAGAGTATATGATTATAGTAATAACTTCAGTTACCATGATCGGAAACGACCACTCTCCCTATTGAACTGGTTGTTTCGCATGAAGATATTATTTTGACCATTAGCTTGGTTGGAGTTTTGGGCATTGTTGGAATAATGCGCATTGTTGGAGTATTGTCCCTGGTTGGTGTATTGCGCAATGTTGATATATTGCGCATTGTTGGTGTGTTGCCCCTGGTTGGTGTATTGCGCAATGTTGATATATTGCGCATTGTTGGTGTGTCGCCCCTGGTTGGTGTATTGCGCATTGTTGGAGTAATGCACATTTTTGGAGTAATGCCCCAGGTTGGTGTATTGCGCATTGTTGCCGTTGTAGCGCTGGGTTTGATTGGAGTATTGTGTTTGGTTGGGATGTTGTGCTCGATTACGGTAATTAGCAAACGGATTTTGAGAAGGTACCCGGGGATTGCTACGGGCTTGCTGCTGTTGCTGCTTTAAAGCCTGTTCCTGATTTGCAATCGGCTTTGTCGACTTCAGTTTAGGATTGTTGTTACTGATGATTCTGGTCATTCGCCTCGGGGGTTCTGTTCTAGAATGAGGCTGTTTAGCCGATTGCTCTTTTTCTTTGGGTAGAATTTCGTCTTTAATCAATTCTGTGTACAAATAAGCAGATTTGGCAGATTTTATCAGGGCCTCTTTTGCATTTTTGTTATGAATAAGTATGGTATCACACTTTTTACTTCTTCTGAAAGTGTGAATATCATGACTGAAATCACAATCGCCTGAAATAAGGATTATCCTGCAATGCTTATTGTAACCCACAAATTCATGCATCAAATCTCTGATGACGTTGTCTGATGAATTGGCCTTCAATCTTGGAACATGTATTATGCGCACATGAAACTCAAATAACTGCTTCATGATTAAGTGTGATTCTTCACGAGCATCACAGACAACATAAAAGTGCTTCTCACTAAACTTAGACGATTCATCCACAAACTTCTCACGAAGTTTCGTGATCAGAATAGCAGGATTGAGGCCTTTTGGCATCCTCACGTTTTCGATATCCCAAAATATCCCAACAGCAACTTCTTCTTCGTTGCTCCCTAGCCGAAGGAACTCTTCAGTTGTTGACTGGTTCATTTGAATAGACTTCTGTGGGTTCTCCATGAACACAATGGTGTCCTCAGCTTCATCAGAATCAGAATAATGTTCTACCCTAGTACCAACAAGTTTCCTCTTCTTACTCTTCTTAGCGTTTCCCGCTGTTGCAGCATCTTTGGAGCATGATGGTTTCACATTTTCTTTTCCAATTTTGTCATCGGGTTTCTTCGCACAGGGGGTACCTAATTCCCTCACATCAGACGAAACCTCTATAACAGTTACATTTGTTATCGTCGTGTCATGATCAAATGTTCCCTCTTTTTCAGAACATGAAATATTTGAAATTGTACTAGTGTCTAGTACGTGTTTAGGGGGTGCTTTTTTCTTTGAAGAAGGGGTAGAACTAGAAGCATGCCGAGTTTTACCTACAGTTCCCTCAGTTTTACGAGACTCGTCCATAGTTTCTTAAACCTGATTGGATCGATGTAAAGGCAACTGGCAAAAGCTGATGAAAAAGCAAATTACAATTATAATGCTACAGTTTCAATTAAATATTTCTGATCAATGTTCATCAATACAGAATGAAAATAAAATTGTTTCTATAAAATTGTAGAAAAACACAACAAAATTACCAAAAGCAAACAAATATTATTGAATATTTTGCAAGGTTATCAAAATAAAATCACAGAAAATATTATAATTATATATTATGCACGTACCTTACCACATTTCATTAGTTTTACCTTGGCATTATGACAGTTTTCAACCAAATAAAATGCAACCTTATAAACATTATGCATCATGATTATAATATATCTCAAGTCTCGTTACAACATCTTTATCCTACATCCTATCATTATGATAGAGCAGAGAAATCTACTTTGAAGATTTGACCAATCACGATGTAACGCTACCCACCCCGGCCCCCCGGCCCCTCTCACGATTAATATAATGAGACAACATGACATTGAAATCTGATGATCTGCATAATTTAAATTGAACGTTAAAAAACTTGGTATTAATACATAACTTGACTTTGATGTTTCTTTCATTAAAATTTCTGTTTGTTTCTGAAAGACAGAAACAAGTGAAGACAGATTCCAAATATAACTTGAATTTGATTAATAAATTAATTCAACGCAACAATGGATGAAAAAATCCTCCGAAATAAAATAACAACAATTCACATGAAACCCTTTGGAAGTTGAAATCTTAATAATAGACTGACTAGTCATCTAGTAGTCTCGGACTGAAATGTTTGCCCCTTTAAATTTTTTTGACTTTTGTTTACGAGGTTGATTTCTTGGTGAGCGCACTTCTTTCTGTTTTTTACGATAGTAAGCTTTACTTACTGACGACCAGTCTGATGTTGGGGACAAGGGTATAAAATCCGGCAGAGCCTCATCTAACACTTCTACTGCAGGAGAGTCAGCTTCACCGGTTTTATCACTGGTCACAGCGTGGTCACCATTGGTCAATTGTTCATTTCCCTTGTGGTTGAAGTCTTGGTTGTAGAAGCGGTCTCGATGATGATTCATGCCACCTTGCTGTTTCTTCTGTTTGTTTTTGACCTTTTTATTTGGGAAGGGCATCTGGTTGTTGGGTCGTGAATTCTGAGCAAGATAAAGATGTGAAAGCTGGGCATGTTTTCTGAGCCCTCTAGATTGGTTTTGCTGGTTATTTTGCAGTGCTTGATGTTGAATAATATCTCCTTTAATCAGGTCAGTATACAGATGAGCTGATGTGGCGGATCGTATCAGACTCTCTTTTGCATTTGGGTTGTGTATTAGTATACATTCACATTTTTTGTTTCGTCTAAAATTGTGAATATCATGACTGAAGTCACAATCGCCGGATATGAGAACAATCCTGCAATACTTGTTGTATCCCACAAATTCATGCATCAAATCCCTGATGACGTTGTCTGATGAATTGGCTTTTAGTCTTGGAACATGAACTATACGCACATGAAACTCAAACAACTGCTTCATGATTAAGTTTGATTCTTCACGAGCATCACAGACAACATAAAAGTGTTTCTCGCAAAACTTTGACGATTCATCCACAAACTTCTCACGTAGCTTTGTGATAAAAACGGCAGGATTCAATCCTCTAGGCATTCTTACATTTTCAATGTCCCAGAAAATTCCAACAGCTACTTCCCCTTCGCTGCTGCCAACTCTTAGATACTCCTCTGATGTTGATTGACTCATTTGGATCTCTCTTAAAGGATTCTCGACAATTTCAATGTCATCATCCTCAGATTGATCTTCTACATACTTATTAACTGGTGCTACAGGCTGCTTGACCAATCTGTGTTTCATTTTAGGTCTTATCTTGGACTTTATAGGCTGTACGGTTTTGTTCGTTTTTCTGATATCAGGAAGGAATGATGTTTTCTTAGTTTGACTATTTTTTATTTCTGTAACAGATGCATTTGTAAGAGTTGTATCTGCATTACTGCTTAAAACTTCTGACTCTTCAGGTTTTACATTAGTCTCACTACACGATATAGCGGAGATGTTACTGGTATCAAGAACAGATGTTTTCCTCTTCGCAGAAGGGGAGGATGTAGGGGTAGATGAAGGGTTGTAAACATTGTTCGTCAACCCGAGGATTGCTCGCATCACTGTCTTTTGACAGTCTACCTTGGCATTTGTATCTGATCCAGTGTTGGTGTCGGGTCGGTATCTTTTAGGATTGTAACACCGTTCTGGGGAGGAGTTCAAATGAGCAGAAGAGGGTTTCATTTCTTCAGCATCTTCTTCTTCAATAGAAATCGGTCTTGCAATAGAACCAGGAACGACTTCTGAGAAATATTATGAGATTTAGAGTTAATGCATTTAATTAAATATTTGAAAACAAAGATTTATTATTATGATTTAACAATGATTTGAGAGTGTATTGCCGAATGATTAAATCCACAACAAAGCATCCTAAACTACAATTTAAATTAAATTATCAGATAAACTTCTTTAAAACTTAACATTAATTGTTAAAAACAGACCTTGTTCCTCTATTTTGATGGTATCAGTGCAACAATACACATTAGCTTCCTCATAAGTAGTGAACCTCTTCCACTTTGCCGAATCGACTCCGAGAATCTGAGATTTACACTCTGACCAATCAGTATAAACACCTGGCTTTCTGCCCACTTTCACCCCAAAGTACTGGTTCTTTCTCCCCATGCTTTCACCTACATGTACAGTTTGGGTACTTCACATTGCGGCTGATAGGACGCTGTGTTAACATTAGAGTGTCACAAAGTTAAATCTGAATATGGATATAAGAAATGTCTTGGAATTGAGTAATGTAAATCAATAATATTGATTCAATATGTAAGTGCCCAACAGGAATAAAGAAACGCGGTAACTGTTTTTCAAATGGTAAATCTAAACAAATAAGAATCACCGAATAGAACAGCTTGTCCTGAAGTCTTACTACATTTATAAGTGTTACTAACATTGACACGTCATGAAAGTCTCCGAGCTAACACATTAATCAATTCATTTATTGAAAATCCCAAACTTTGTATTAATTAAACGTCACCAAAGCAATAAATAATATAGTCTGCATCATAAAAGAACGTAGATAAAAAGCTGGAAATTAATTAAAACATATATTGTTTCATTTCTGTTATCTGCAAAATCACAAAACACAAAAATCACAGAGTATTAAAAAGTATTAAAGAGTTAATAAAACTTATCATCATAAACATGCACACTTCATCACTATACCATCAGCACTATATCACAAATCGGAAGATTATATTTCTGATACACCTTTTTACACTCCTTCTTTTTAAATAACAACCATAAAGTAGGCAAATTAAACTCACAAAGCATAGAGCGATATAAAACGTGTTATTCTGCTGAGCTAGATGGACAAGGAGATCTGCCTTAGTACTATACTTATTAACAGTACCAGGAGGATGCTCAAATGGGCTGGGTTCAGGAAACATGGTCTGATAAAACTCTGCCAGCATATCTGTGTTCTCCAAGTGCTCGTACGAACTACCATGGTCCATGTTATCGTTCAGACAAATGAACTTCTTGGGATTGTTCCTAACGTAGTCCAGATCTATTCTTACCCTTGTAGAGTTGCTCTTCAGCATCTTAAATGTAACGTCCTTATCATCAACAATCTCGTGTTTGTATGTGGTCACGTTTTGTAGTGTTTTGTTGATCAGGGACGTTATGTTATCACAACTGGTTATATTTTCCGGACCAAATATGGTGGGAGTTTCTGGTATAGAGCAATTTTTCATGATATCCCAAAATAATGTCCGATTAGATTCAGCGATTGGCAGAGTAAATAACCTAGTCATTAAAATGTTTAGTTCGCCACTGCTGTAAACATTGTTACCATCAATGTCTATATTTTGGAGAAATGTCGTAACACTCTGGCGGTGAGTAGCGTGAATGATGAAGTAGTAGTAGGAAAATGAAAACTGCATGTCATCAGAGCTGCGAAATTTGTTTGAAGAGGTTTTTGCGAATTCTTCCGGAAATCTGAAAATTGTTAATGTAAATTGTAAACTCACGATAAAAATAAATTTAATAGATATTGAAAAAGACAAGACATATCATTTTAATTTTAGACACAAGATGACGAGACGTAGTTTGTAATTTGATTGAATGTATCACAGGTCAAGACCACTCTGGTTTACTTTTCTGTCAATAATCAAAAACATTTACTAACCTTGATTGAAGATCACCAAGTATAGTCTTATTAACCAAAAAAGGCATGTGGGATAGCACCTTGCGTGGTGCTTTACCAAATTTTGAAGTGTAGATGTTATTGACATGATGAATCGAATCTGCAAACGTGTCCAGTAAACGCCTCTTTGGCATCATTTCCATTGCTTTCAGTTCTCTTTGATTGATACCTTCAGCTTCCTCTGATCTCTCACTGGCAATAAACTTCCCAAGTTTAACCCATCTTCCTTTTTCAGTAAGCAGTCCCGACTTGACTAGTTCAACTAGACTGTTATCATAACTTTGGGCTGTCTCAGATAGATCTTTGTTATCAACTGTGTCCATGATATTACTGATAAATCCACTGTACTCTTTGTCAAGTTCTAAGGCCGTCATGATGGGAATTTCCCACTGTTCTTGTCGAACTTGATTCTCTGTATCAGGTCAACAGAGTTTTCAACTTTGACAAATGGTTCAGCTGATAGTGAGGAATTCACGTTCAACCCAATGGTTTTGATGAATGATTGCTAAAAGTAAATGCTACAGAAACAGACCCAGTTTTGTTTGGAAATACAGTTAATGAAACAATCTTATGTGGTAAGGATAAGATTGAGGTCCGAACGAGAGCCTCATCATCAGACTCAAAACTGGCAGTGTCCACAGTTCCATTCTCTAAACTCACGTTAAAATACATAGCACTTACACCAGCTGGAACGTCAATGTTTGTGTTATTTGTAATAGATTTTAGTGCCACTTCGAATAGTTCTGACTTTATGTCCTTGGTTCCACAATCACCCGCATCAAATCCACACTTGTTCACATTGCAAGCTGGGTCACAGTACTTATCTCCCACCCACGATTGGGAGCACCCAGGATTACAATAACTTTGAGCAAACGAAGCGGCCCCAGGAACTGCATTAATTACACTGTTTGCCAATCTTGCAACAGCCGGGGAACCTAACTGACAATCACCACCATCAAAATTACAAGCAGACACATTACAGGCTAGATCACAGTACCCGTCCGTTAACCAGTTAGCTGGACACCCTGTGTTACAGTTAGGAATGTTCCAGGCCAAGAAAACTTTGTATCCCTCTGTTGAAATGAAATCTTCTGGATACACTGCTCTTCCTAGGAACACATCATCGTTGAAGTAGAGAAAGTGTTCTGATATGCCGGGTATATTCTTCATGTTAGATTCAATAGAAGGAGAACTAAAGGTTGGTAAGTGGGACTTATTTTGAAAAACCTCCGAGTGGGTAACAATCTTAATTCGATCATGCTGCACATTGAGCCAATTTGGTATCTGTCCGTTAGTCAAAATGTATATATTCCTTACCCAAGGTGCAAATTTGTACACAGAACGTAGTGAGTACCTCAATTCTTCATTATCAGCAAATCTATGAGCACCAACATCTTGGATTGATAACTGTCCGATCATGTATTTTTCCCATGGAGGCCAAACAAGAAACGTTTCTCTATCAAGAATACCCCGGCAATTCTGCTGAATGTTTGGGAATTCATCCTTTTCAACACACAGCAGATTCTCAGTCTCATCATAAGAAAGTACACCAGGAAGTTCTGAGGGTTTCTCAAGTTTGCAAATTGAAATATCTGTCAATTTGCTACTAGTTTTCACATACGGTCCTTTGCCATGCTGGAAGGTATAGAACACAGGCCTAAATTTTACTGTCAAAGAACCTCGAGTAATGATTCGTCCTGCTGCTAGTTTAGCATCAGATACGGAAGGAAACTTTATGAAAAGCAATGTGGATTCCTCAGCATTCTCAGGTTTAGCATACTTTATCTCAAGAGTGTTGGCAAAGCCAACAAACTGTCTGTATCTGCTCTATTGTAAACGTACTTGAGGGTAAGTAACTGCTACTTACAACAGCCGGGGAGGCTATGCAACCCTCAATGGGGCACTCCTTAGGAACCTCAAAAGGATTATCAACAACATTTGAGTCAGCTGAATTTGCTTTCGTTTGATCACGAACACTTAGCAATGATCGTCCAGTAAAAATCTTCAGCTTTTTGGCGATTTCGGTAGGTTTCGTTACTTTTACCATAGCTTGGATTGCTGTACAATCTCTTATAATACTCAATGGATTGTCGTAACAATGGATCCGAGCCATTCACCCAAGTGTACACAACATCTATAGGAAGGTGTCTGTTTGAACTGTAACATATTTCCTGGATGTTGTCGCAGCTGTCCTGATCCTGGAGATGCAATAAATCAATCAAAAGAATAAAAGTTGCAACTTGGTACATTGGTACAAAATAAGTAATTGCAGTGATACGTCTATTATTGGATTAAAATTAATTAAAATCTCTCAAACAGATTATACATTCTTTGGTATTGATGATTATTGATAAGAACAACAAATCAATGACATGTATAATATTATCACAAAATCAGCACTTACGTAGAAAAAGTACCTTTAGAGTAGAAAAGAGAATGTAGACCAACAAAAGGACATTTAAACATACACCCACGAAGGCAAATAGCTTGTTCATTCTGTATTCGAGGACAGCTTTCTGACATTACAACCAATACATCAGAGCTATGGAAATGGTAGTGGTATACATTCGGGATTTCTAGTGTCAAAAAGCAGCAACATTATTTCAAAAATGAATGAGTCTAAGATCAATTTTCAATTTCTTGGCTCTATAAAACAATTCCAAAACATGAAACATTAACTGATTACATGTAGGCTAAGGAAACACATTATCTCAATACAATGCAATAATAATATGCACTTATTTATCAATTTTCGCTTACAGGGTAACATGAAAATAATAACTTATGTACAAGAAGACAACTTTATATTGTGCTCATAAAAATCCAATAATAAGGTATGTTCACTTATGGGAAGTTTTCCATGAGTTTAAGCTAGAAAATTAATACCTCCAACATTTTTCAGCTAACAAAACCAATACTTATAAGATTCTTAGTGGCATATAGTTGTTCTTTGATCAACATTTGATTCGCTTCAGCATTTTCAAAAACCAGCTGGGTCATGGCCATGAATTTCACCAACAGCTCGCTTTGCTCCAGGTTTGGGATTGTTTGTGATGAGGCGCCATGATTTTATCCCAACAAATGTTGCCATCCAAAGAGAAACTCCCCAGGTAAACCCTGGCAATCCATAACGTGTTATCTGAAAATTGTTTGTTGTTGGTATCATCTTAACACTGTTTAAGGATTGATTGAGAGTTGCTTAAGTATTGCTTGTGAATGTAAGCATAATCAAATACTACTACATATTTTTTCTAAATTTTGATTAATCTGACTATTAAGGGAGCAAAAAATTTGTCCCAGCATGGCATACCCATACAAATTTAAATGCTTACGAGTGAAAGATTATTAAACTGTTTCACTAAAATATTTCTTTAATTATTGTTATATTATCATATAAGTGTTACAATAGTACTTACATTATACATATTTGTATGTCGCACTTTCTGCTTATAACTCCAAAAACTAGCCCAGGGGTCCTTCAAAGGAGGCCAATTTCCCTCAGGAGGAGGTGGGATGAAGTAACTCTTTGCAATGGGCATGATCCTAATCGATTAAGCATTAAATGGTTTCCATTTTAATTGGGACTAGTGTGCTGGATGATTAAAAAACAACAACTATGGTTTTAATTTGATTGAAGGGGCCATAATAGCCCGGTTCATAAAACAAAAATATTATCCAATAATTACGGCGATAGGCTTATCTGTTGTTCCTTAGGCCAAATAACTACCAAAAAAATTTTGAAGCTTCAACTCCAACCGGAAACACCCCCACATGCCACGCCCATTTTTTTCATCAATTTTTAACAGGTAAAAATCTTCATATCATCAATTTAGGCATGAAGGAGTGCTTTTAGTGCTCCAACAGTTTGGGGTCTAATAGTAATGGTAGAAAAAGGTTAACTTTAGTCAAAGTCTCAAGTCTCCACGGCGCTTGGTTTAGGCGCACCGGATCTCGCGTCTCGCGCCTCCGCCGCGAGATTTGTTGCGCCAAAACTAAAGGTCGTAGAGACATGAGACTTCGACTAAAGTTAACCTTTTTCTACCATTACTATTAGGAAAGCACATCAACAATGTCTCAAACACATTACTTCATGCTTTAATCAACAATTTTATAGATTTTACCTGTTAAGATATATTTAATAATTATCTGCTGGATATTTCATTAGTGGGATTCCCTTCAAGTTAGGATCAGTGTTCTTTCAACCCTGCTTGAGAAGCTGTCGTTCTCTAAACTCCCAACATATGGCGCAGTTACTCGGAGGATCATGTTCGAGCTGGAGCAGAATCACGGCAGCTTGAGCTTAACTGAAGCTGTCCAGATTGTAAAGACCGAACTGGTGGAGCTTTGGGAGTACGCTGGATACGGAGATATCTTGAACTGTCGATCTACTATTACCAAACGTATGATAGAACTTCATTTCGACTACAAGCAAATCATGAAGATTCCTACATCTCGACGAGGAACCGAAGCCCATAAGAAGAAGGAAGCCGCTTTCCTATCGACGTTGGACAGCTTATTCGACATCACAAATCCCTCCCAACCTGGACGACCTGAAGCTTCCGGAGATCCCTGCCGCCTACAAAGAAGAGACGGAAGACCTTCTTGCTTTCATCGACCTTCGGTTGTCACCTCAGCACGTGAAGAACCTGGCCAGAGGAGACTACAAGGAATACCTGGAGCTCACGAAGATAATCCTTGGAGGTTCCATCGATAGGAAAAAGGGATACACTTACCACATCCAGAGACCAGGAGCAGACCACCACGCTCGCTGGATGAGTAAAGCCATCTACATCCTGAAGATGTCACTTCTACGCCATCAGCTTGGACTTCACTGGAGGACGAAGAAGAAGATCCAACAAATGGCGCTGTTTGCCGTCTTCGTTTACCTGGAAGCATGGTTCACCTCTGGATCCCTCTTCTCTGCTGCTTCCAACGACCTAAAGCTGCACAGGAGAATCCAGAAGTTCTCGAAGGTGAACAAGAAAGTATCCAGTTCCACAGCGCAGGTTATCAACAGACACACCTGGTACCTAACTGAGGATCTCGTCCCTCTGGCTGTGTTTGACGAATCCTTATCTTTGGAGACGAGGAACCTGATCGCAAAGAAGATTGGTCAACTTCCATCACTCCAGCCTGAAATCAGAAAACCAACGCTTCCAGCCCTCGCTAAGGAATCTTCCCTGATTGATTTCGTCGGTCCTGACGTATCCTCGTTAGTCTCGAAGAAATCATCAGACCTTATTAAAAGTAATCGGTTACCCTGTCAGTGACGAGCTATGAAGGAATTATTGGACCTCATCGATGCTGATCCTATCAGTGACGAGTTATGAAGAAATAAGAACCTCATTTAAATCATAGTTTGACGAAAATATTCCTCTGGCAACGAAGATTAGACAGCCTGCTGATTTTAAAGGATCAGTTCCACTTTTACAGGCAAAATCCATATGATTGTTGTTTTAAGGATGAAGGAATGTGTTTAGAGCTCTGAAACTGTGATACTCAAATAGTAATGGTAGAAAAAGGTTAACTTTAGTCGAAGTCTCATGTCTCTACGACCTTTAGTTTTGGCGCAACAAATCTCGCGGCGGAGGCGCGAGACGCGAGATCCGGTGCGCCTAAACCAAGCGCCGTGGAGGCTTGAGACTTTGACTAAAGTTAACCTTTTTCTACCATTACTATTAGACCCCAAACTGTTGGAGCACTAAAAGCACTCCTTCATGCCTAAATTGATGATATGAAGATTTTTACCTGTTAAAAATTGATGAAAAAAATGGGCGTGGCATGTGGGGGTGTTTCCGGTTGGAGTTGAAGCTTCAAAATTTTTTTGGTAGTTATTTGGCCTAAGGAACAACAGATAAGCCTATCGCCGTAATTATTGGATAATATTTTTGTTTTATGAACCGGGCTAGGCCATAATTGTTTCAATTGTATAACTGTATAAAATTATTATTATTATAATTAATTTGATTAAGTTTTTAAAAGGTCACTCATAAATTATCAAATACAGGTAATTGTTCATTAGCTAACTATTATATGGTTAGATACCCTCCACCAGTGGCGTAAAGTTGCCTGTTGGCGCCCCCACTGAGAAAGCGCCCCCTGTTGGCACCCCCTCCCCTTTTGGTGCCCCTTGGCCTTCCTAAGATTGTAAAAATTAGGTGATTTTAGAGGGTGCGCCGGTAGAATCTTTAAAAAAGTGTGTTTCTAGAGTAAAATGCACAGTTTTGCTAGTGCCTCAGTTAAGAAAGGGCCCTGCTGACCCCGCACAGCAGGCAATCTTGGGGGGCACAAAATCGTTGTTTTAATGTGGGACAATTTAGAAAAACTTAACTGAGGTAATAGTAAAACTGGGCGTTTTGCTCTAGAAACACACTTTCAAAGAGATTTTACCGGCGTATCCTCTAAAATCACCCAATTTGTCTTTTTTTAAATGGGCGCCAAAAGGGGAGGGGGCGCCAACAGGGGGCACCCACAGGGGGCGCCAACAGGGGGCACATTTTCGGTGGGGGCGCCAACAGGCAACGTTACGCCACTGCATCCCCCTCGTGAGGGGCAACTCGTGAGGGTGTCCGAAAAAAAAAGAATTCTAGAAGTCAGAAGACTGTGTCTACTAAAGTGGACTCAGGCGATTTTTGGGAAGTGTCAGATATAGTTTTAGGTAAAATAGAGGGTTAAGTTATATTGAGAAGAAACAGCACTTTTTTTCAATTGATGTAGGAATGAAATAAACTACCATTCCACAGCTTGAGATGTGATGATTTTACCATAATAGGTCGGAAAATGTGTTCCATTTCTTTGCCACAGAATTTTAATTGAACATTTTTATAGGATATTTGAAGTGTAGTAACTGTTTAGATCTTGAATTTTATAATAATAATAATAATTCTATACAGTTACATAATTGAAACAATTATGGCCCCTTATCGTGGGCAGACTATGTTTGAATTTTATACCAAAGTATTTATGTTTTAAAACATTTTGGCAGGGTGAAATTTGTTTGGTGGGTTTCTATAATAGTCCGTTAGAAATTAAAGTTTTCGATCGATACTATTTATTGTTTATTTCAATCAATTTAGTTAATAAAATGCTCATTGTAGCCAGTTACTTTTAAGATTTTCATCGTCATGCCACAGAATTGAAAAATATAAGTCCAAATATTATATGAAAAATTCGGCATGTTATGTACAACCCAAAACTTATATTAATTTTGAGAGGACAGTTAAATTTCCTTTAATTTGTATAGTATTCATGCAATGTAACAAAATTGCCAACAAAATTTTAGTGTAGGTCAGAAAAGGAGGCTCTATCCCGGGACACCAACATTTTTTGGGTTGGCACCCAGGAGAAAGCTGCCTTATTCTTTGTATTTTGTCTCAAGTATTTTAGCATCTTCTTCTACTCTGTTTATTTCACCGTCTCTAGACTTATATGTTGCCCAGATAATTTGACATGACTGTATTAGATTTTCTGTAACATCAGTTACTGTTCTGCAGTAAGCTTTTTTAATAATTTTGTATTGTATATTGAAGTATTCAGATTGTTTGTATATTTGGAGTTATATATATTTGGAGTCTCATA